TGTTCGGAGCCACTCCTAAGTGCCTCAAAGGGGGGAAAAGATTTGAAAATGTACGTAAAAACAAAAACAATTTTAAACAAGCTGGTCAATACGTCAAAGTGACTATGACTATTGACAATTGACAATTGACGATTGACTATGATCTACAATCAGGAGTAATGCAGGTAGAACTTCAAACAATATTATCTCCCAAAAAACCTGATTGACCGCTTTTAACATATAAGCAGACTGATAAGGGCCCTATCATGTTTATATCGAAAACATTGAACCAAATGTCTCAGGTAAATTAAATCCAGTTAAGGTTGGTGAAACTGTTCTCAAAAATATTCCTGAAGTCGACAATATGATTAAAAGAATTGAATCGATTGGACGCAATAGTGAAAGGATTATGTTAAAAAATGCATCAGCAGCAAATGTCCTGTTAAATAAAACAATTTTATTCAAATCTATCAATTTAGACGTTTATATACCCAAATTCATTTTATATAGACAGGGTGTTATTTCGGTGGACAAAGACTTATCAGGCCTATATTTGTGGAGAGGATCAAACCTTTCGATTCTCACTGCATTTTCTCGGTGGATTCGATTAAACGCATGCACCGGAAGTCAGATCAAAATGGTGAGATTAAATATCTACCTATAGATAAGGTTGTAGTTACTTTTCAAGCGCAAGAATCGCCTAAGCGTGTCGCTATAATTCACGTTCTTTTTGATGTAAATCATTATATACGTATACAGAAGGTAATTTTGTGTCATAACTGTATGCGTTATAGTCATTTGGGTAAGCAATGTAGAAGCAAGCCTAGGTGTGCAAAATATCACGAAGAACATGTTACTAGCTCATGCCACAACGACTCTTTAGAACAAAAATGTTTAGTTTGCGGTGGCAGTCACTACTCATTTGAAACCTCAAAATGTGATGAATTTGAAAGACAAAAGGCAATTGAAAAGCATATGGCAATGACTAATTCTTCTTTTAGAGACTCAAACAATGCGGTGCCAAAAATATATGTTTCAGTTACAAAAAATAATCCCATTATACCCCAAGAGATCAATAGTTCTAATCTTTCATCTCAATCATCAAACAATCAAACATCAATAAATAATCCAAATGCGAATTCGCACTTTACATAAAGGTTGTCTAAACCTGAAACGGAACCCGCCTGCCTAGCCAGATTTGACAGAAGAAGCTAGGAGACAAATTGTGAGTCAAATAAATACTCCACAGGTATCCGGGGGTATCACTAATAACCCCAATTACTGGGTACATGAATTTAATAGGAGAGATGAGACGTTCATCCAACATGTTTCAGAATTGGTTATATAGTTTGGTATGCAGAGGCTGAAGATTTATCGTACCTAAGAGAACTTACCTAATTACTATTCGATTTTCGCCTTTTGAAACGATTTGACTCACCCCTTTTCTTTGAAACCTCCAACGAAGGCGTAGCACGTATAGACTCAACCTACTTGACGCCATTCTTTACCTATTTTTTTATTCTTTTCACCTTATTTGGGGCACTTAGTGCTTGTTCCAGACGACCCAAACTCTATGTGCTTTAGTTTTATATCCAAAACAAATCATTTATGTGAAATAATCTTATAAATAAAGAACTTGAAATTCGGTAAAAGTGTCCAACGTCAGTGTCATTTCAACCTCTAATATTTTCAATAAACAAAAACTAAATGCCTTCTTTGGTTTTTCATAACTGTTAATTTAATACCAGGCAAACCTATTTAGGTTTATTCTCAAGTTCGGAATCCAATACGCATAAACAGACGAATTTTGGGGTCACCCTTTCTATTTTCGAGTCCCGTGTTTACAAGTAGGTAATTGAAATTCGACCGACTGAAGTAATAAGTAAAACTCATTATATCAACAAGCGTATTTGGAAACTTAGTTAACACATTAATAAATCATTACACTGATCAGTTGGTAAATGCAGATGACAAAGCAAAATGCCGAAAATAACCCATTAAATATCGATCAAAGCAGGTAAAACAGATATTGAAACCTATCCCAACGGTACTATCAATGTAGACCAGTTTTCAGGAAAAACCATATTATTTGTCGGCTGATCTGCAATTGAAATTTGTTTACGATATCTAGTGACCCTCACTGGCTTCTTAAGAAATACGCTTGGGATTCCCGACGTCATTACAATGCGCTGAAGTATTATTTACATATCGGTATCAATAAGCAGAAGTAGATTAGCAAAAGGAAAACCAGTGGTACTGAAAGTGTTTACCCGATACCAGTGAAGGGCGCATTGTATGCAACATGTAAAATACATAATTGATGTGTACTCCTATAGTAATTTTTGAATCAGTCGAAAAGGTATAAATATAGACATTTATTATTTATATACAGTGTGTCCAAGATGAGGATCCTATGAATGGGTACCTCAATACGTGTGGAAGAGATATCTTAGGTTAAATTAGAAAAAGTTGCGTTCGTATTTACATGCCGATGAGGAAAAATGTTATGGTATACTGAGAGATTTGGGAAATACTGAAATTTGGCTCGAAATTTAAATAAATATGGTTCATTCAAAATGCCTGTTACGTCTCGAAAAAAGGAATGTTTACAGAAAACTCAGAATAGTGTTTTACAAGGAGTACCCAAATCCACAGCCCAATTTATTTTGAGTAAAAATAGATATCACCTCTATAAATTCAGGATTTGCACACGATTTAGATCAGGGGATAGCGAACACCGCCAGCCTTTTTGTGAAACTTGTGATGAAAATTATAATTTTCCTTCAAAAGTATGGTCCGACGAGACTATGGTGAGTAGTAATGGTATCTTTCGCCGCAACACTCATTACTGAGCTCAAGAAAATATGCGGCCTAAAAAGTGTCCAGAAATCAATAACGTTTTGGGTTTCATATGTGGTGAGGAATTCTGGAAATCACAATATTAGGTCCATTTATGTTATTTACCACAACTCATTAACTGCAGAACGGTACCTTCAATTATTGCAACATGATCTAGAAGACTGCCTAGATAATTTACCTTTGGCACAGGTTAATAGCTATTGGTTTCAACAAGACTGTGCTCCTGAACATAACTCTAGGCAAGTTCGAGAGTATCTTTCTCAGCGATTTCCCGGAAAGTAGATTGAAACCTCCAGTCAAGTGTCCTGGCTTGCGCGTTCCCCGGATTTAACTCCTCTAGACTTTTTGGTTTGGGCTTTTATTAAAAACCAAAATTATCAGCATACCTACGTGCCTTTGAAAATGAGCAGCAGTTACGATAATGTGTAACGGAAGTATTTAGTATGAGGACACCAGAAATGTAGCGTGATGTTTTGAATCCTACTGTTAGAAGTGTTAGAAGAGCATATTTATGTTTATTTACTGTGAATAAAATAACATAATGTTAAAAATGTATTCGTTATTCTGAATATCGCTAGTTTAAGCAACAATTTATAAAATTTTGCACTATCATATCATTATGTAATAATATGAAATATGCATCTATCGGTAATCATATAATCTTACATCAAGCATTTGTTTGCAGCGACTACTTAAATAAAAGAAACACATTTTTCTTTACCACCCAAAAAACAAATGTAACATGTGAGACATCGGTAAATTCGTAGATACAGGGTGTAATTTTTTTAGACCATATAAAAAATAAAGCTGATGATGGTTTCTCAAAAATGAAACATCGGGCCCAAAATTTAAAAACATCATTATATAGTGCCTGAAAAGTGCCAATGAAAAAAATGCATTGGTTTTTTGATGTTCTTCAAAATAAAGTCAGAAGAAAATAAAAAATATTTGGTCAAATTTACCTCAGTAGTCATGAAATTTTTACAAGTTCATCAACGGCATTTAAATACTCCCCAAAAAGCGCAACTTATTCCTAATTTAACCTAAACAGTATCTCCCACCGGTATTGAGATACCATACATAGGACACGTACTGATGAACAACAACATGAGTTCTGCTTAAAAGGGAAACGGCAGATCGCTGCGTCTCCAAGCAGGGGATATCTCAATTTATTTATGTTCTTATATTTATACGCTCCCAACCTTGGTAATTCTATGCACCTATTAGGCATATTTCACACATCACAGATTTCTCCGAATCTTTGCTCTTAAACCTCAGAATATTCTTAGCAGATGGATCGCCTACCTATCGGCCGCGTCTGGGCTTGTTCCCTGCGACCTGCCAATCTCAGTCAGTGTTCTGGTATTACTTTCGCGCCTGACTGGTGACCGGCAGGGGTATTATGGAAAAGGCCTGAAAAACGTCAAAAAAAAACGAAGAAATGTTATCTTGCAGACTAGATAGTTTTTAGTGTGCAAATAGTTCATTCCACGTTTGTTCGTCATGATCGCTGTTCGCTGACATTTATAGCTAAACTACGAAATGTAAAAAAAACGACAAGATATGTAACACCCGTGCGGCTTAGGTTTGGGGTAACGGCGGGGGAGGCGAGGTTGCCAGTGAAGGAATGTCTATACTCATTAGAGACGATTCATGTATTATTGCAGCAGATGTATTCCAAAAAAGTCATTTTTCAAATATTTTCCCCTTCTGTAATAGCTAAAATATCAACTTTTGAATCGCTCTCTGCACTCTAGCTGCATTTAAATGTGATATAGGGTTAGACGAACTTAAAAAATAAAAAAACAGCATTTATTAATGTTTAATGTATATGGTATATATATATATATCTACAATCCAAAAAATTCTGATAATAAAAATAACATGGCTCTATTCGGCTTTTATATAACAATAAAATACTTTACCCTCTGAATGCATAAAGCATAAATTTTGCGCGACACTGCTACTGTCTCCACTGTCTCCTCTATCCAAAATCCATTAGAAACAAATTTGGAACATGGAAAACCCAAGCACGCCGAAGTCGCCTATATAAACCCCAGCTCGCAACGATCACTATCATAAATCGCAACTCGTTCCTGCAGCGAACATCTCAGTTGACACCAGCCTTCTAGATCAGTCGAAAGAAAATCTTCCTCGTAGCCATGAAGGGATACCTTTTGTTCACCATTCTTGTTCTGCTAGCCATCGGTAGCGAATTGGCTTTTGGTGATTGCCTGTCTGGGAGATACAAGGGGCCCTGTGCAGTTTGGGACAACGAGACGTGCCGTAGGGTCTGCAAGGAGGAAGGTAGGGGCCGTGTCAGTGGTCATTGCAGTTCCAGACTTCAGTGTTGGTGTGAAGGATGCTGAGAAAGCAATGGGGTAAAAATCTGACAACAGTGATAACTTGACCCTAACACCTTCCAAGGAAATTTAATTTTCATCGAATTACGCTGGACCCTTTTATTTTACTTATTTTAATTTTTGACTACTCATTTTTTATTTTTTGTATCAATCTAGGCAAGATATTATTCAAAAGCCAATCATTTCATGTGAAACTTATAAGTAGCTATAACCAAATTTTTCTTCTTTTTTTGAAAACTCGCAAGCGGATGAAAGTTTCAAAATATTATTTCATACTGCCGTTTTTTGTATAGTTTTGTGTGTGTATCATTTCTATCGGCATATCTTCAATAGTCGGAGAACGCATTTATTTATCGCACGAATGTTTTGAATATCGCAAACGGCGTAAGTGATCAAAAAAATATAATTTTCATCACAGATTATTTACAAACAGTTGAAGATATATCAACAAACACATCATTTGTAGGTAGTATAAGTCAAAAGTAATATTTTTGGAATAATAATTTGTTTAATATGTATAAGATTACCTAAATTTGGGCCTTGACAGTATTTTTTGATAACCTGTTTTTCAGCTAAATTATCATTGTGCTTCACATGAGAACACTATACATATACACTATAATGGGATCTTATATTATGAACATATTTTCACCAGTTTCACTCAAATATGTTATATGTACATAGATTATTGAGAGTTTTGTATAAAATTGGTGTTCTACAGTATCGATCTTATATTTTTCTGAAAAATCGGTTGTTTGGGAATATTTGCAATTTCTGTAGTGGGAAGAAATGTTCAATTTTGAATTATGTATAATATGTTTGACTGACAATGATGTTGTCATGACGTAGTTGCTACTCCTGCACACTTTGAAGATCTATTCGACACATTTGTGATATAAAAATGGTTGAAATGTATTCATCTGGTTTTACTGTATTAATAATTACCTTTTAGTATATTTTTGACTTTTTTGTTGTTGTGAATTATAAAAATAAATTTATTTCCGCAATTTGTTTGGTATCATTCTTTTATCTGCAAAGTACAAACACTGTACGTTTTTTAGAAACCTTGAAAGTCTGTTGGACTTGGAAGGATGTCATTTTAAAAATCCGTGATGTGGAACATCTCGTTTCCTGAATTTCAACCAAACATAAATTTTTCTGAATCTTGGGATTTCTATCAACGTACTGGGTGATCAAATATGCAGGCTGTATATTTCAATAAGAAAATAGAACGCTCTGTATACCGGGTCTTTCACATTCTACGGAAACTGTAAAAGATCCAAAGTCGCTTAGATTAGAATTTATTATTAGAATATAGTTTACAATTCTGATTTCAAAAATGTATACATTGCCATTTCCAAATCTGAGTTACTCCAGAAAACTAGAAGTACATTGCCATTTCCAAACCTGAGTTACTCCAGAAAACCAGAAGTTCCTAGGTAGGCCTTGAAATTATCAGATTTCATTTGTTTCGTATAACGGACCAGACCCCAAATTCAACATATCAACAGAGTTTGGAGGAGAATAGAAATAAATCGAGCAGTGAACAATGTACAAAGAAGAATCAGGCTTTGCTCAAAAATAACGAACAACACCTTGACATCTGCTATGATTTATCTCTCCTTATTTATGATAATTATTGTTATTGCCTTCAATACAATTTTCATTTTGTGTTCAGGTTTCACCATACCTTTTTATTCCCTTATAATTTTCATCAAACAACAAATTCGTGGCCAACGAAGGAAATACATAACTTAGTGTAGGATTGAAAAGTCCATTTAAACGTATAACACTTCAATATAGCGTCCATCTGAAAAAACAAAGTTGGTGATGAAAGTCGAAAGAAGAAATGTCGAATTGGAAATTTGACTATGCCATCTTGTAGGGGAGAATAAGTAATACTGCAAACATGCAATTTATTTTGAAAACTCAAAATGAAGTCAGGAAAAAATAAAAGTGATTTTGGGATAAATCTGGTATGCGAAACAAATGACTATCTAACAATTTCAAGGCATACCGTAAGAAGTTCTGCTCCCTTACATTTTTAGAATCAGAACTGCTCTATCCATCTGTTCAAAGATCTAATATGGCGCCTATAAAAAGAAACAAAGTTGGTGCTGGAGGACAAGAGACGAACCGTCATATTGAAATTCTGATTATGCCTTTTAGAGGGAGAACAGTGGCAATGTTAATGTGCATATTTTGAAATCCCCAATAGAGTCAGGAAAAAATTAAAACGATTTTGGGACAATTTTTCCGTCTGTTCAATTGAATTTCGGAACTTTCTAAGCGGCGTTTTGTTCGTATCTCTTACAGTTTCCGAGAACCCTGTGATTAGGGTCGAATTTGAAACACCATTGCATTTTCTCATTTTTGAATTTGTATTAATCTAGACAAGATATTATTCAAAAGTCAAACTTTTAAGTAGCTATAACCGAATTTTTCAATATCTTTTTCATAGGAATTTTTTGAAACCTCGCAAACGGATGAAAGTTTCAAAACATTATATCATGCTGCCATTTTTTTTATAGTTTTGTGTGTGTATCATTTCTGTCGGCATATCTTCAATAGCCGAATAACGCATTTACTTATCGCACAAATTTTCTAAAATTTGCAAACGGCGTAAGTGATCCAAGAAATATCATTTTCATTATTTACAAACAGTTAAAGATATATCAATAAAAATACAATCAACAAAAATACATCATTTGTAGATAATATACGTCAAAAGTAATATTTTTAGAATAATATTTTTTTAATATGTGTAAGATTACCTAAATATAGGCCTTCAAAAAAGATTGCCAGTATTTTTTGATAAGTTTGTCTATTTCATTTACCTAACCGTTTTTTATAGTTTTGCAGCATTCTGCTTTTTTGAAATAGAGGCAGCAAAATTTTTATTATGCTTCACATGAGAACAATAGAATTGGATATTTTGTTTTGAACATATTTTCACCTATTTCACTGAAATGTGTTATATGTATATACATAGATTATTGAGAGCTTTGTATAAAATCGGTGTTCTGTAGTATCGATTTTATACATATTTTTCTGTTGTTTGGAGTCAGGCTTTGCCCAAAAATAATGGACAACATTTTGAACATCTGCTTGAATAATTTATCTCTGCTAATTTATGGTTATTATTGTTATTGTCATCAATAAAATTTCCATTTAGTGTTCAGGTTTCACCATACCTTTTTTATTACCTTATAATATTCACAACTTAATTCAGGACTGAAAAGTCGATTTAAATGTACAAAATTGCAGTATAGCGTCCATATAAAAAAACAAAGTTAGTGATGTAAGTAGAAAGAAGAAAAGTCGAATTGAAAACTTGACAATGCCATTTTGTAGCGGAGAATAAATAAAAATGAAAATATACAATATATTTTGAAATCCCATCTCAATTGAAGTCAGCAAAAAATAAAAGTGATTTTGGAATAAATCTGGTATGTAAAACAATTGACTATCTGACTATTTCAACATATACCTAGGAAATTCTGCTTTTTTTGAAATAACTAAGGCTTGGCAATGCCAACGAATGACGTATTTACATTTTTGGAATCAGAATTAAAAACTATTCATCTGCGCAAAATTCTAATATTGGGCCTATAAGAAAAAATAGTGATTGATGCTGGAGGACAAGAGACGTAACGTCATATTGAAATTCTAATTATGCCTTCTTGTAGAGGGGAAAAAGTGGCAATGTTAATGTGCAGTTTATTTTGAAATTCCACTACAAACAAAGTCAGGAAAAAATTAAAACGATTTTGGGAAAATTTTGTTTTCAGAACTTTCTTCGCGGCGTTTTGTTGATTATCTAAATACGCAACTTTGACCTATTTAAGCGACTTCATATCTCCGAAATCCTTATGGTGAAGGTCGAATTTGAAACATCCTGTATATTGCATTTTCTCGTTATAAAAATCTGTCCTCTCTATGCAAGCGCCAAAAATTTTGTGGGTCGCTGTTTCTGTCCCCTCAATCCAAGAGCCATTAGAAAACCATTCTGAACCTGGAAAACCCAAGCACGCCGAAGACGGACGGCGTTGAAGAAGTCGCCTATATAAACCCCGACTCACTACGATCATTATCACAAATTGCAACTCGTTCCTGCAGAGAACATCTCAGTTGACACCAGTCTTCTAGATCAGTCGAAAACAAATCTTACACGTAGCCATGAAGGGGTACCTGTTGTTCACCATCCTCGTTCTGCTGGCGATCGGCAGCGAAATGGCTTTTGGTGATTGCCTGTCTGGGAGATACAAGGGGCCCTGTGCAGTTTGGGACAATGAAACGTGCCGTAGGGTCTGCAAGGAGGAAGGTAGGGGTCGTGTTAGTGGCCATTGCAGTTCCAGACTCCAGTGTTGGTGTGAAGGATGCTGAGAAGTATGGGGTAAAAATCTGACAACAGTGCCCATAATACCTTTCAAATTTAATTTTCGATTATATTCTCCGGCATTTTTATATTTGTATTTATTTTTAATTTTTGACTACTCATTTTTAAATTCCTATTCATCTAGACAGAGTATTATTCAATGTCTTCATTATTTAATATGAAACTTTTGAGTACCCACAATAGAATTTTAACATCTTTATTCTTCATCGGCATTTTTTTAAACAAGCTACTGAACGTCCCAACATATTATTTCATACTGCCATTTTTTAAATAGTTTTGTGTTACATCATTTCTATAGGAATATATTCAATCGTCAAGGTTTTAAATAGATGTATCAAAAATGTTTTTATCCTACGATTTTTAAAAAAATCCAAAACGACGAAAATATTCCAAAACATTTCTAACTGCCTTTTTGTGTACTACATGATTTTCATCACAGATTGTTCACAAACAGCTGACGATATATCAATAAAAATCTAAGCACAGATCAGTGGTAGATGGTATAAAGGTTTTGGAATAATAATTTTATGTTTTACTTATTTCCTAAATTTGGGCGTTTAACTAAGGTATTTTTTCTATATCTGTTTTTCTCTCTCATTCACTTTATTTTTGCGGCATTATATTATCTAGTCTAATTTTTTGCAATACAGACACATGAAAACAATATGGTTAGATGTTAAATATGTGTTCTATAGAAGTCAACAATTACATTTACTACATTATAAAAATAATGTGACAATTTACTAGCTGATATTTTTTTTGATAATGTAACTTATACACAAATGTTATACAATTTATGTATAAGATATTGAAATTTCGGTGCAGTATCGATTTCATATATATTTTTTCTGAGAATAGATTGTTGGTTATATATTGCCGTGAAGTATGTAAACTCTGAAAATCTGTTCATCACATTTGTGATATAAAGATGATCGAAATGTATTCATCAGGTTTTACTGAGTAGACACCTTATGTTATATTTTTGTCTTTTTTGTTAAATGTGTTGTATTTGTTTTACGAGCTATAAGAATAAATCTATTTCCGCAATATATTTTGTATTATTTCCTCTGTAAGTGCATAATGACATTCAATGGCAATTTTCCTTTTTCTCAATGTCAAAAGAACCAAACGCTAAGAATCAGTAGAAACTTTATTATTTAAATGAATGATTTTAGTAGTTTGGGACCATTCGATTATTACTAAAGGGAGCAGGGCCGGGCTCTTCGCTTTGCTTATTTTTTTATGACATTGGGGATGGGTTGTCTAGGGCCCGTATCGTCAGTCGTCCCTACAATTGTAGGGCGCGTTTATGGCCTCCTTGATTGTCATACTCCGTTCTCTCCTTCAAACATTTCTAGATTACACTTGTCCCGTGTCAGCGTCAGCGCTCGCCTATTGTGAAGATATGTTTTCTTTTTAAATTGTAGGAAATTTCAGGCTGATAAAACATGATATAACTCAAAAGCAAGCACAATTTGATGCAAATAGATGTTTGTCACATAACCTCAAAATGAAGCGCTGACACGGAGAAGTAGAAAACTATGACAATCAAAGAGGCCATAAAGGCGCCCTACAATTGTAGGGACGACTGATGATACGGGCCTAAGTCATTACGTCACCAGTACTTATTTTTTTTAATTAGGTTGATTTTGATTAGAACAATGGCAACCCTGCTTGTCTATGCATCTTTCCCAAATATGGATATGCTCACTCGCTTAGAACCTTAGCTATAAATACGTGTAATCCAGTGTGCGCAGAATGGCTACTCTTAGTTGGAAACTGACTAGTTTGATACCGCCTCATGACCATTTTGCATCTCATTTGGGTTAACGTGGCGTTACAATTAATGAACATTTAGAAAAATTCAATTTCGTGTTTGTCAGAAATGTATTAACAGAGCATATCTCTGGAGTTCAGTAAATTGATTACTGGAAAGTATTTTGGGTAGGGCAAGCCAGATCTTCCTGATTTTCCAGGTATGAAATGGTATTCACATGTGCTTGAAAGCCAGTACTCCAAATTGTAAAATGTACTAAAATGAGGAGGAAGGTGTTAAGACATTTGCTTACAAGAGGTGGGAGAGGGGTTAATAATCGTAAAACCATGCTTACGTAATCCTTGATGGGCCCCTTTTGAAAATGTTGAAAGTCGTGCATATTTCGAGAATTTTCAAATTTTGAAAACCTCTACTGACAACTGCTAGAATCTGCTTACTGTGAAATGTAAATGTTGAATCGTGCCTTGAACGTTCATTAAGGAGCAGTTATTGTTCGGTTAAGATCCACAGATAGATTATTCCTCAAGCGGACTCAGTCCTCAAGGATCGTCTATAAATGTGACCCATAATGTTTTGTTTTCAAAGATGGTTCTGGTTTAGTTCAGATGAAAGTGCGAAGGACAGGCACTATCCGCCAAATGGTAGCAGTTCTCCTTAGTAACTCTGCCATTATATACAGGGTGTCCCAGAAGTCGACGCCAAACCGATAGCGAGGATAGACCAAGTCGTAATAGTTTCAGAAAAATATAAACAAATCTAAGTCGTGTACTTTATAAATTATGGGCTTTAAAAAAATCGTGATGATGTGATGATATTTTAGGTCCCATTACCAAAAATTTCAATTTTTTCATAGACGGAGTGACGGTCAGTGTCATTTTACGTAGTAACAGCAAGACTGGTAGTAGCGCCACTTTATTTGTCACTCCGTCTAAGAAAAGATTTTTCCATTTTTTTAAGCCCTATAATGTGAAACGTACACGATTTTTGTTATATTCTTCTAATAACTATTATGACTTGGTCTATCCCCGTTTGTGGCTTGACGTTGACTTCTGGGACATCCTGTATGTGGCTTATGCTTTTGTTATGTAGGAAAACTGTTCCTTATATTAACAAGACAGTACCAATGCTTTGAAACCATCTATTTATCAGAATATCATTATCCTTATTGAGAACGACTATCGTAGGCCTGGGGATGGCGGAGGTGTGAGCCGGTGCGTTTTAATTGTGGAAGAGCACTTTTTTCTTAGACAAATGGGGCCGTTTTTTGCAAATTGGTGTCAAATCGGCCCAATAATCCGGCAGAGTAGAGACCTGTAACCGTTTTGCCCTTCTCCAGGCAGTCGATGTAGATCACACCTTGTGAATCCCAGAAAACGGTTGCCGTCACCTTTCAGGCTGATAGTACAGTCTTCGCGCCCTTCGGCGCACGCCTTGCAAGTGAAGTCCATTGATTTGACTGTTCCTTGGTCTCTGGTGTGTATCTGTGGATCCATGTTTCACCGACGGTCACGAAATGACGCAGAAACTTCTTCGGATTACGATTACAAGCGTCAACTGCTCTGAAGTGGTCTCACGGTTGCGCTTGTTGCCACTGAGCAAACGCGGCACCCATCACGCAGACAGCTTTATCATGTCCAATATTTCATGCAGGATATGACCCACGTGGTCTTTTGAGATGTATACTGTTTCAGCTCTCTCAACCTTCAGTCGTCGTCTGCCATTACGAGATCGTGGACTTTTCTGAGATTATCCTCCGTGGTAGCTGTTTTCAGGATGCCTAGGCGTGGCTCATCAAAAACCGACATGCTACCACGTTAGAACTCGTTAAACCAATTTTTGATGGTTGCCATCCAAGGAGAGTCACCGTATATGCGATATGTTACATATTCGTTATTTATGCGACTGAAATCTAAGACGACCGTTGCTCTAAAACGAACTGAAACAACTGCACATACGAAACTAGTTATCAAATCTTGCCATTTCAGTACATTGTATTTTTAGCTCATTAAGGTATGATCCAGTTTTGGTACCTTGTTATTATGCCCCGCGTTTTAAACCATAGGTTGAAACCATACAACCTTAATAGTTTGTCTATTTTCAAGCGTATATTTACTTATACCATAATAAATCTGCTACAATATAATGTACTGAAGTAACTCTATTGATCGTCCAGGCTAATTCAATTCTAATACAAGCTGTCTCTATGGCAAATTAAATCTATCAGTACATATTGCAGTACTTTCCGCGAGCTCATTGCATCTAGGGCATGCAGTCTTTGGTTGCACTTACTGACAGTAGTCGTTAATCGGTAAGTTTCGACGAGATCCAGAATAACAGCCCTGGCCTTCTACTGCACACATGCTTGCGAGGCTTCAGAGCAGAGAAAAATGTTGCAATTCTATGGAGAGTCAAAGTCAAAGTCATTTATTTTCTATGGAAAAAATTATGATTTTACATAATCAGCCCTACACTAGAGACAGTTGGAAAGTAAATAAGATTACCCTGAAATCTGCAAAAAAGATTTGTACGCAGGAGTCCACCTACTTTTCTACTCAGCTGGTATCTATCGACGTCCTTGCATCATATAAATAAAAAGTTATCATTATCAAACCGTATATTTTATCAACACAGACTGGGTAATTCCAAAAAATTTGAAGAAATATCTAATCTCGCAGAAAATGCGATTGGATAGGAAATTCCAAGTTGCATGTAAACATTATACATACAAACATGCTCTCCTTTGTAACAGTTTAAACATATTTCAACTTTTATTCAAAATGACGTCAGTGTATCTGTTGGTGATAGGTTATACTTCATCTAAATATAAGCAAAAATTGACAAAAATCCATTAGTCAGTGTAAAGACATATTACTGTTCAAAAAATGGCTTCAAGTAGGTTGACTCTGCACTTCTCATGCAACGCCCTTATCAAAACATTAAGGAATAAGTTCGGCACAAACTAGACCCTCCGAGATAACAATTCAGTGAAACAGGTCCATACAATTAGTCCATAGAAATTCTTTCCCTGGCCTACCGGTAGTGCATCTAAAAACGTCGCCTTTCCCCGATACCTAACTCGAGCAATCGTAGCACCGTGGTAACGCAGTCATAGCATAGAAACACTATGATGTTGCTCGGCAGAAATATCTGTGATTCCAAAAAATTGAGATAAACCCTCCCCACCCCCTTACAATCTCAAGTTTTGTTTACCTCTACGATTTTCAAAAACTGCAAAGCTCGTTAGCATAGAAGTAACATTGTGTACAAATTTCATCGACATGAGTGGTACTTTTCAAGTTATAGGCGGTTATAAGATTAGCGTACAGACCGACAGACAGACCGTTGGAACCGTTTTTCGTGATGTCATATAGCATCCAAAAAAGATAATAGGTATCTCATTTTCTAAAAGTTTCGCGACTACAATATTTTCCCGCTAGTAGGCATGGGAAGTAAAAGAAAGGCGTCGCGTAGATTTTAAGTGTTCTTCCTACCCAATTCTGGACAAATCGATCAAGAGCGGATCCAGGGGGTCACTTGGTCAAGATTTAGTCAGGATCAGGATATGCCCCAATTCGTTTAAGATAACTAATCTAATGGTCGCTTATTCAGTACCTCATACCTTGTAAAACGATTTTGCGCTTCTTCTTGATCGACACGTATATTTTTGTGGACCTAAAGGTATACCAATCCAGTCGGAACGTTAATTCCGAGCCATTGATGCTGTGTGTTTATTTATTTATTTATGATTCCCAGCAAGTTGCACCCAATTACAGGAAATACGCCAACAACGAAAATCGAATCAATAATTTAACAACAGCGGAACAAAAAAAAAAGCAAATAAATGTATATAAGGACTGTGTAAGTATTTGAAAAGTGGAAATAGCTTCTAAAATTCCGATTCTATATTACACCAAAGTACCAATCTCGGTTACAATCTCTATCACAAAAAATATTACAAGCGGAACAAATCGTATTGAAACACTTACACATACATATACATATAATTTAACGGTGATTTACATCCGATATTTGTATTACAAATGTCAGGGTAAAACAAATTCTGACAGCGGCTACCTAGCATAGGGACGCGAATATTAATATTTTACTTAATATCAGGGGGTAACTTGACTCTACAGTCTTCTACGTCAAAATCTTAGCACCGGTAAATGCCGCGTTAGCTGTAACGGCTCAAGATTCTTAACAGTGCCGAATGGTCAAATCCTCTTTCAGGGTAGTGACCGTGACCCTTGAATAAACATATTTAAGTGCTTCACGCTGCACGCTCTGAACTTGCTCCTAATGAAAGTGAAATACAGGAGCTTTAATGTTGCCATATCAGCTTTGCCCGAATTTCTGACACAATAGCCCAAGGCTTTAAATGTTGTAATCACGATATGAAGGATGTAGTCAATAAATATCAGCTTAGCGTCGAAAACGACACCCAAATCTATAGGATGTAGTCTTTTTCACGAGTATCCATTACGGTAGAATGGCAGCTGATTATCTAGTAATATTTCAAAATTCCCAATTTCTGGCAAAGGACTTATAATTCTGACGGATCCTTCAATGCCAGGTAGACAGAGCTATATTTTGTTTTGTTTTTTTTTGTACGCTAATGATTAATTTTGTACTTGCTGAATGCTCTTTTATTTATAAAAGTTCATTTGCATACAAAAAACAAACAAGTTTCACTAGATTTAACACCCTATTTCACGAGTATCCATGACGCCTTGACGTCTCCTGAGATGAACAGCTGATCAATTAGTGATATTTTTGTGTTAGTCTGCAAGGTTGGCTATAATGAGTCGGGTATAAATCTATCAAAAAATTGTTTGGAGTGTTTTGTTTTCTGCATGCAAATTAACTTTTCTAAATAAAAGAGCTTTTAGCAAGTATGTAATGAATCTGTAGCCTATAAAAAACCAAAACAAAATATGGATCTGGCTACCTGGGATTGATGGATCCATCAGAATTATGTGTCCTTTGCCGATATGGGGAATTTTGAAATATTACTAGATAACCAGCTCTCATTCACTGTAATGGATACTCGTGAAAAAGGGTATAGTTTTCTAATAAATCACATAACCTTGCATTTTGAAATATTAACTTAGTTATCAGAGCACCATAAGTAGATAAATATCACGCAGTTTTGCAACAGAATGCAGTCACCGAGATTAATAACAGCATCAATTTTCAAATCATCAGCATAAAGTAGATGCATGCATGGCAAAGACAGCGATAAATCATTGACGAAGATTATGAACAGCAAAGGTGCTAAATTACCTGAAGTACACCAGATGTTGCAGTATAAGACTTGGATTGATAGCCGCGATATTCCACGAACATGCTTCTTTCTAGGATATATGACTTTATGAGAGTCAGTAAAGGGTCTGACAAGCCAGCAGATTCGAGCCTAGGTAATAAACATGTTGTCTATATCCCGCACCAGATCGGTGCAAAATCAACATAGGTAAATCGCATCGCTGGAGCTGGTTTATTCAATAATCATTCCAGTAGATGGCTTGCGGAGCAGTACAATATTGATACATGGGGTCGGAAAAAAAGCCAGATGTGGTCAAGTTCTAATACTACTAATACTACCACTACGACATATTTATTATTCGATGTTCCTCGGCATAAGTGCCGTAGAGTCCAAAATCTTGCAAAACCCACAGTACCGTGTCTTGACTAACAAGTTACGCCCTATCGCTTATCTAGTTTCAATGGATGACTGATTGGTCGGAGACCAGATCAACCGTGAACATGATCTCGCTCGAACACATCTCGTCAATCGCGGCAGCTAAGCTTTGTGTTTAGGGCTAAGAAGTACTCTTCTCCACATAACTTCCTCACTATGTACAAAGCTCATATTAGACGTAGCCTCGAGTACGGTTCGCATGTTTGGGGTGCTACCGCGTCGACTACATTATCAATGCTCGATGTTGTTAAGAGGAGGGCTGTCCGACTGATCGATAACCCTTCTCTAACGGACAGTCTTGGGGCTATCGTTTCTCACCGACGGTTCATCGACGATCTAGCTCTCTTCTACAACCATGTCAACGGGCTCTTCTCCTCAGAGCTCTCCTCCATGATGCCGCCGAGTGATGAGCTTGCCAGATAGACCCACCTGACTTCGGCCTCTCATCCTAACTGAGTAGTCAAACTTCGTACACTCAGAACTACCTGACAAGAGTTTTCCCAGTTCTACTAACCTTGGGCAGTTCAAAAATCGGATTAAGTATCTTAAGCTCGTTATAATTAGTACCCGCAGTGCCCTAATATTTAGACTTCTACCTACGCGGTTCACTAGACGAGAGTCTGTCAAACAGGTCCATACAATTAGACCATAAGCATTTTTTCCCTGCCCACCGGTAGTGTATCTATCAATATCTCCCGATACTTAACCCTGTAAGACGTGGCAAAGCGGTCACAGCATCGGAAACGTTACGTGACCAAGGTCGGCCGCATGGGAGAAACAGCTGCGGTCGGTCGGATCTGTAATTTTTGGTATATGTCTAATAGGTGCTTAAGATTGGGAGCGTTTAAATGTACTGACATCAAAAAATTAAGATAAAACTTTCCCACCCCCCTACAACCCCCGCCCCAATTTTTTACCTCTAAATGTTTTTCAAAATTGATCATGGATCCTCTAAAACGTCTAAAAACGAAGTTTAAGCGATTTTTATTCAATTCGTTTTACAAAAACTACAAAGCTGTTACATCCTTGGCATAGTATCTAGTGACATTATGTAAAAGTTTCATCGAAATCAGAGCGGTACCTCTCAAATTATAGGCGGTTATAGGATTAGCGGACATACCGACAGACAGACGGACCGACGGAAATGGGTGACATGGTTTTCCGTGATGTACATGTCATATAACAGCCAGAAAGCACAATATCTCATTTTCGAAAATTTTCGCGATTACAATACTTCGCTGCCAGTAGGCGTGGGAAGTAAAAGCTTGGGATGAGACACCTCGAGAAGACATGACCCACGTTCTTAGAAGCATGCCACGGCGATTGAACAAATGGGTATCTCATCAACACATTATTAGGCCAACTTAACGATAAAGCAAATGTTGTCAATTTAAAATTTAATCATGAGTTCCTTTTGTTTATCTCTAACTGTATATTGAACTTTATTCAAATAAAAAAACTATTTTTACTCGGTGATGTGATTTCTTTGTCACTGTGTATAATTTTAAGTAAAATTTGAAAAAGGGAAACGTTCTAAGCAATTCGAGGCGTAACGTTCATTTTTCGCGATCTTGTAGGAAATGCGATTTAAGGTTAATCGTTTCACTAAATAGTTAATTTTCTTTGGCCACTCCATACTTTTTATATTCATGTTGGGTGTTACTGACACTTTCGCATACCCAAGAAAATCCAGATAGTAAATAAGCAGAACAAAGTTTGAGAATCGCTGTTGGTCAACTGATTAGAAATGTATCGTAAACAAGGAAAACCCATCAGGTACGCAATGAAGCTCTCATATATAAACCGCAACACAATACGGAGGAGTATTACGACTTGCTTCAACAGCAAACAAGCTTCTTCACATTTCTCGTCCACCAGTTGAAGTCAATCAAACCAATCTTCACTATGAAGGGTTACCAGCTGTTCACCATATTGGTTCTTCTTGCCATCGGCAGTGAGTTGGCCTCTGGTGACTGTAAATCCGGAAGGTATGTAACAATTATTCTTTTATTTTTTCTAATCTTTGTTTTAATACTCCCTCAAAATGCATTCCAATAGTGCGAATTTTATCGTATCCTCATTTATTTTTAAGCACTGACGCAAAAACAAGGGATGTTGCAAGCATATCTGTGGGCCTACCTCTAAACTGACTTGCGTGCGGTTTTTTTAAAAAGTTCTGTCTGCCGAGATGGTTGTTATAGTGCCAGATACTTTCAGCCGAGCACAACTTCTGTCACACGATTTAAACAAGGCATCCCGCTATAAAATGGCTTCACTCCAATTTGTTTATATGACGATTTAGACAATAAAGCCTCCAACTGAAATTATAGAGTCTGAAAGTTTTCATGCTGGGTTTTTTTATTTACACGGTGTCTCAGAGATGAAAATTTGTATTTTTTAAATAAAACACGTTGTTTCGTTAGCACTGATACCCTGTATATAAAAATACATTGTTTAAAAGCGTCTGGAAAACGTTATGTATACAGGGTTTTTTCAAAGTTGAGTCATTTATTTTAACTGCTTGTAGGTCTCGTCAAAAGGAGACAAAAAATCACCTATATAACATGCTGTTGCATAATAAAAGAAATAGTGTAAGATTAAAATTTAAAAAAAATAAAAATGTTATGACAGATTTTTTGATATTCTCGAGCACTGCCGTGTAAATCATAGCGTTTTCTCATTAAATGTTTGGGGTGGCGTGCTTATTGGATCCTACATATTTCCAGCTCGACTAACCCGTGAATTATTAGATTTTCTTCGACACAATCTGGCACAATTATTAGAAGATGTTCCTCTAAATGTGAGACAGAATATGTGGTTCCTGCATGATGTGTTTCCACCACATTTTAGACGAGAAGTTCATGAACATCTAAATAATGTTTCCGAATAGATTTCTTGGCCTGCTCGCTTCCCGGACTGAACGTCTTGCGATTTTTTTCTGTGGGGCTATTTGAAAGAGTTTGTGTATAATGATGGAGCAGTAAATACTCTGGAAGATCTTCAACAACGCACTGAAAATGCTTGTGGCTTAATTCGTGGACACAATTTTCGAAGCTTGTAAAGTGTCGTCGATTCGCCGAGCAAGATTTTGCGCTGGAAACGCTTTAATTATACACGCTTTTATTACCCTGACCTGTAGGTAAAGGGTGTCCCAAAATCAACGCACGTTATGAATTAAATAGAAAGCAGTTTTCTTTAGATTGTTATTCTTCACTGAACCATAATGTACTTGGGATAGGGCTTTGCTGGCACACACGCACTCTATTGTCAAAATTTTCCATAGTGGTGGCTGAATTGCGTTGATTCACCGTTTAATTCTTGTAATGCACGGGTGATTGTGGGTTTGTTAACATAAACCTTTGACTTAAAAGCCCCATAAGAATAAATCTAATGGTGTTAAATCACATGATGTTGGGGGGCAATTCTGATCACCGAAACGGGAAAGTTCACGACCTCACGACCAGGAAATGCCTCATGCAGTAATTGAATTGTTTCACTGGCTGTATGACATGTGCCACCGTCTTGTTGAAACCACATATTGGACTCATCCATAGCATCCAATTTTCGACAGAAAGAACTGTGTCAACATGTCGCGATATCGAGCACCAGTAAAAGTTACTGCTTCACCAGCCTAATTTTCAAACAAGAATGGTCCCATGATGCCTCCAGCCCAAAATTCGCACCAAACAGTGACACGTTGTAGGTGCATTTGTTTATCGACAATCACACGTGGGTTCTCCGAACCCCAAATACCTCAATTTTGGCGATTAACAAAGCCATCAAAGTGAAAATGTGTTTCATCGCTTAGGATGGTTTTGCTCAAAAAATCAGCATCCACTTGTTGATGTTCAATAATCCATTCCGCGAACGCCCTTCGATATTCATGGTCTTAGGCTTCAGTTGTTGTGTTGCTTGAATTTTGTAAGCATGGAGACACAGATCTTTTGGAGTATACACTGTAGAGAGCTTCTTGAAATTTGCAATTCTTGTCCACCACGGCACCACGCCGAATTGACGTTCCTGGATTTTCACCAACACTCTCACGCAGTTCTTCGACATGGACGTTTGAACGGCTTGTTTTTGAACGACCGGTGTGTTTAGCGTATCTAACTGATCCAGACTCCCCCTAATTCTTCAATTAATCTTTAAACAGTTGACAAGGTTAAAACGTTATTTCTGTCATATTTTGTATAAAATTTTCGAACTGCGCAATCTTTCAACCAATTGTTCACCTATTTCAAGAAGTCTGATCAACTTGAACATTTTGCAAAGGGGTCAGGGGCCGATAATATTGGGAAAAAATCGAATTTGAAATTTTTTTAAGAAATTTTGAACTTTGAAATTTGATAAATAAATTTGAGGGCTTGGAAATTGTGACAAAAATTTGTAAATCTTGACAAACATTTGGAAATTTCGAAATTTGAAAAGGCGAAAATAAAGATTTATTGCCAAATATAAAGTGTACCAAAAATCGAGGCTCTTGATTATAAGTATGGGGTTGTCCAAAACGGATGCAGGAAAGTAAACGCATATTAAACCAAGAAAGATTGATATTCAAATCAAGTTGGGTACTTTATTTTGAAGGTTCATTTATACCATTTATGTATGAAAAATAATATCGCTCAAATGTTCACCACGACTGGATTTACAGACGTCCACGCGATGGTCGAAATTTTCAATGACATTTTGCAACATGGTCGGTTCTATGGCATTTATCTCGGCAATGATGTTGTATTTGAGTTCTTGGAGGGTGGCTGATTTGTTGACGTAGACTTTGCTTTTCAAATATCCCCATAAAAAGAAGTCCAAGGGAGTCAAATCGCACGATCTTGGTGGCCATGGCACATTTCCTCTGCGCGAAATCACGCGATCACCGAAGAAGGACTGCAATCGATGGATATTGACGTTGGTTGTGTGGCATGTTGCACCGTCTTGTTGGAAATAAACATCGTCCATATCCATTCCTTCAAGTTGCGGAAAAAAATAGTCCTCTATCATCACGTGATATCGCTCAGAATTGACGGTAACGGCGTCCCCGGCCGCATTTTCGAAAAAGTAAGGTCCGATGATGCCTCCGGATCGTCTCTCACACTCTCCTTCACAACAGCAATATTTTCCGGTGGGCGAACGCTCCTTGGCCGGCCAGAGCCTGGCAGATTTGCCACAGAACCTGTTGCCTCGAATTTACGCACCAGACGACCGATGGTTGTTTCGTTTGGGCGATTGTTGCAACCGAAATGTTCACGAAGCGCGCGAAACGGGTTTTTTATTTTTGCACCTTTTTTGTAGTGCTCTTGAATAACTTTAATGCGGTCTTCAATCGAATACGACTCCATAGCGATCAATGGTAAACATTCAACTAACAAAATGACATGTCGGTGACAGAAAATAAAGATGGAGTCTATGTCAAATTGACGTTTACTTTCCTGCGTCCCTATTGGACAACCCTTTACTTTTGTTGTCGTTTTGAAACTAAACATTCAGAAAATAAATTATATTTAAAAAAACCAAAAAAGGCGCTTTAATAGCAAATCGAACTAAAAAGTAGAAATCAAATATGTGGGTGCAATTATCTAAATTTTCGTAATAACGTCATTGGCAATTAAAAAAATTCTATCATGTAATATCAAACATTGTAGGAATTTCTTTGCCTGAAAATTATTTTCTACTTTTTAATTCGATGTGCTCAAGTTTTTAGTTTTTTTAAACTATTTAATTTATTTCATTACATTATCTTTGAATTGAACTTTGGTATGTGCTGTTAGGCTTGATATTTTGTTGCAGGTATAAGGGTCCCTGTGCAGTTTGGGATAACGAAACATGCCGTAGGGTTTGCAAAGAAGAGGGTGGTGGACGTGTTAGCGGACATTGCAGCTCCAGGTTACAATGTTGGTGTGAAGGCTGTTAACAACTTCGCCTACGGTGATATTCTGTTAACGTTCACAGTATTTTCTGGAATATTCATCCCATCCGATAATGTTTGTTGCTAAACCACATTTTTCGGAAGTATTCATTTGTTAGAGTATCCCTTTACCGTCAATGATGAGTATTTATGCATATCTTCCATCATTTACCATTCACAGAAACTACAAAGTTATGACGTTAACAGAATATTTATCACTTTCTCAGCTGTATTATTTTGACGCGGCTTAAAAATGTACATCGAATATAGTTACATAGAATGACAATATGCATTGAAAAAATATGTAGGTATTGATTTTCAAGTTGCTTTGTTGCTATTGGCATTATTGTTGGATTCTGTTGCATTGTATTACTTGTTAAAAAAGAAATGTTATTTGTTGTATTGTTAAACCTTAAGCTTTTATTATGAAAAATAAAATTTATCTTTAGCCTACTTCTGTATAATTTATTCCGTTATCTTGCTTCATGATATAGTTGTAGTCACCGTTCTTAGCGGTTGCGTCATCAACGCCAAATGAAATAAGTAGACAGATCGAGTCTCCGTACCATAGGCCTAACACAGCGCATCTGCTACTCTCTCCAGTACGCATGAAGTGGGTAACAGGGGACCACTGTTTTCATTCGCTTCCCGGATCGTATTTCCGGGCATTGTACAATTTTATATTGAAGATTGATAACAGGACAACTCGAATGCATGCCGATGTCAATTAAGTTGTCACTCTGACAAATATGATTGAAGGGCGCTCATACGTAACGACAAAGCTTTCGAGACGGAGACACACAACTAAAAAACGTATGTCTTTGAACTTACCAAACAAACGTTTTGAAGAACTCCAGAGCAGTATTGCGCGTCATTTTGCCAGTATTGGTTCAAGGCCCTTATTGGTCCCTAGAGCCAGTACCCGTATTCTCAATCTTATCGATAACTACCGTTTCTGACAACTGTCGGTTGTAGATGTATGTTAGACGCAACCAAAGGCTTCAGGTCCCACCCAGGATACGATGAGCTCGCGGAAAGTATTGCAATATGTAATGATAGATTTAATTCGCCATATCAACAGCTTGAACTGGAATTGAACTACACTAGACGATCAGTAGTGTTACTTCACTATACAAGATGTTAATTAAGTATGTACCATCAATTTATCGGACGATTCTTTGAGTGTTTTTAAGACAAAAAGTTCGTCCTCAAGATACAGGGTGTTAAAGTTAAAAAAAAAATGTTTTCGTAAATGTCTAATTTTATTGTAATTTGGCGGTGGTATTTATAAGATTAAGACGCTAATTTAGCCCTAACTTGAATAAATTCATTAAGCCCAGTAGCGTATCGAGAGAGATCTGAACGACTATTTGTGACAAAAAAATATACGGACGAGGAATATAGGGAGAAGTTTATTTTGGAAAAATTTTTTTTGTCGCTAATTATGTAACAACAATTAATAAACACTAAATTAAATTACATTACTTTAACATCTAAACTATAATGAATTTTACTAAACTAAGGAGTAGTAAATAATAATCAAGGGTTGTCTTTGAAAACGATTGCAGCATTTAGGGCCGTATCGTCAGTCGTTTTGATTTATATAATCTGTTATATAGCCTAAAACTTCCTACAATTCAAGAATAAAACATAAAACCATTAGGAGAGCGCTGACGCTGACAAGGAACAGTAGAAATCTAGAAATATCCTAGCCTTTCTGACGGAGAGAAAATATTATGAAAATCAAGGTCATAAAGGCGTCCCACAATTGTAGAACTGACGGGCGATACGGCCCGTAGTATTTATAAGTTATCAATTTATAATTTTTATAAAAAGCGTTTTTAGTGGTTATTTTTTGTCCAATAAGGTTCAATTTACTAATAGTATGCATTTTATTTCACGGAAGCGTTTATCATAAAAGACCTCCTCAGCGTGTGGTGCCTAATAGAAGAGCTTTTGTACATGTCCATGCAGGACTTTCTGAAACAGGCAGCTTTAAAAGATCGACGGTTGTCATCGGAAGGCGTGCAACGATACGAATATTTCAAATTGAAGAAGCTGTTTTAAATGAATTTGATGCAAATCCTCATACCAGTACTCGGAAAATACCTGAAGAACTGAATATTACCCATGTCACAGTGTGGCAGATTTAGAGGCCAGCAGCTATATCCATACCATATGCAACGTGTGCAAGCTCTATTTCTCAGAAATTTGCCTTTAAGACTAACTTTTTCTGATTGGTTATGCAGTAAAATGTTTTCTAAGTCGAATATTGTTTGCAGATGAAGCTTGTTTTTCTCGCAATTCATTTATTAGCTTCTACAACAATCACATTTTAGCCGATAACAATCCTCACGACTTAATACTTAATAGAACATAATTTTCAAGAACAGTTTTCTTTTAATATTTGAGTTAGAATTGTCGATGTACATCTCCTCACTGGACCTCATTTTCTTCCACCTAGACTTGATGGAGAATACCGAAGGCTTTTAGAATTTGTTTTATCTGGACTTTTAGAAGAAGTTCCAGTCATGGAGAGATTCCGTATGTGGTATATGCGCGACGGGGCTCCACCACACTTTAATTTAGTGGCGTGGAAATTTTTTGATGGAACTTACCATAATCGCTGACCCCCTCGTTCGCATTAATTCATATGACGTAATAAAAGATACCTACGCCAGGTATTTTCAGGAACGTGCGTAATTCAATAAAGAGGTAGCTAGACGGTTGTATTGAAACCGAAGCGAGCCATTTCCAACACTTAATTTAGTGTAATTTGTTAGTCTAGACGTTAATGCTATTTAGTTTTTGTTGTCACATAATTAGTAATTAAAAATTATAAAAAATAATTGCTCAAAGAAAGTTTTCCTCATATTTCTTGTGTGGTCCAGGGATATGCAATTAAGTGGACTTTTTTCTCGAAAACTAAGCAAGATACGAAAAAAATTCAAGAGACAAAAAAGTTGTATTTCTATTCGCTTAATCCAAAAAACAAAAACATTTATGTATGGTACTGGAGCAGATTTAGCACGGCATACGTTAATCCACGCTTTAAAATCATTTCAGTTTATTTAACGCGGCAGCCATTACAAATTTCAGCGACATTACCACAGTTATGTGACCATACTATACCGTATCGCGTAGCGCGATTATATCATCCATCAATCCATCATGTCATTTCTGAAATTTGTCCTGTGGTTTTCATACTGATGAATGTTCATGACATCAAAGACAGACACTGAGGACAGAGGCATCAAACGGACAAACGACAATTCAGTTAAGCCGAATCGCACAGCAACCCTCTGGTGCGTGATTCAGTAGACTACACAGTCGAGCAAGTTCGCAAACATTCCAGGCCGCGCCTCGCACTGTAATCAAAATTAAATTGTAAATTTAAACCAGCCAAAATTATTTCAGTATACAAAACCGATCAAAATTATTTTTTGGAGCTACAAAATAATTAGTGTAGTCAAAGCAATAATGCTTAAGCTATTTCAAAAGATTTACTTCTTTTCTTTGCTCTATTTCTTCCTTCTTTCTTTCCTTCTTTCCCTTTTCCCCTTAAACATGTTTGGTATCTGGTTAGCCAGACCTGACAGACTAACAGACCGACGAGACTTTTAACTGAGAGCAAAGGTCCACCGAACGGCTCTGACGAATAATGACGAATAGTAGTACGACAATTCAGAATGAATACAGTCAATGCATAAGGCGGTAGGTCGCAGTTTGAGTTCTCTCATTTGTTAGCAAATAGTACTAACAACGCTAAACAGGGTGTTACAATATTATTATTTCATTTATTGTATAACTGCTCAATAAATCATTTAAAACAACTGTTCCGTTTCTATTCCATTGTTCGTGTTTTTCAAACACGCGCTAGATTTCGTCTCAGCCGTCGCAATTGAGAAAGTTTCTACCGCGAGAGGCAGAAGGGAAGCTGCCCGCCATAATAGTCGATACCATCATCTTTCATCGGGTCCTGGTCCTGTCGTGAAGAGTCCATCGTGCGACAGTCGGGTAATTATTTCAAGGATTGCGATCATAGCAACGTGTGGAATGAACTATTTGCACACTAAAAACTACCTAGTCTGCAACATTACATTTCGACGGTTTTTTTGACGTTTTTCACAAAATAGCCATGCCGAACCAGCGCAACCCAATTTGGTAACAGAGCCGATTGGGACAGTGTCGGTTCAGCAGTCAGGACAGTACATTTTTTTTCCACTCTAGAGTTGTTGGAAATGTAGCCGTTCACAGATACCTGGAGTAACGAATAGATTAGGTTAGAGTAGTTAAACAACATCGGTTCTAACTCACTCTGCCAACCTGCCTCAGCCACCCCACCCACTCCAGACCACCCCACCCCACCCCTTCCAAACAGGTCAGAAAGGCCCAAAGACCACGTGACAGACCACGTGACCCACCCCCATGACGTCACGTATGCCAAAAAGGCCGAATACCATGTGACCCGCAGAAATGGAGAAAGTAGTGAGTGAGAAAAGTGTAATCGTGATATATAATTATGCATGAGAGTAGTCTCGCCTAGCCTAGCTTGGTAGTAAGAAATTTGTACGGATACATATGCATGAGAGGAGCCTCGCCTAGCCTAGCCTGGCCTAATTGCGACCGATGACGACGACGACAACCATCCTTCATGTCATGAGATAATAGTCATATGTGCGAGGGAAGAAATGATACGACAGCGGTAGTGTGATATTTTTTATGCATTACAATGTTTGCAATGTTTCAGCATTAGATATAACATTCCAATTACATAACAAATGAACATTTTCTAAAACACAACGCATATTATTATACACATGTTTATAACAATGTTTGTACTGGAACATTTCCTTCAGCTTGCCTAGATTTTTGCATCCTATTTCATGTAGATCGGTGATGGGATTAGTGATGAATCTTTCCAACCACTGTTTCTTCGGGCGTCCCTTGACAAATATTGGTTGATCTTGAACATATTCTTTGATGAACAATGCCAACTGTTCATAATTAAGACATGACTCTTCAGAAGGAGATAAATCCCAAGGAATTCATGTAAATTGTCTACAGTCCAGTTGATCTGTGACTGTGTGCTCTTGTTGAGGATTGTAAATTCTATGGAGACGGAATTACGTCACTCATATCTAATTTACGTTGTTTGTTTTCCTTTACTTCATCAGATTCCCTTTTACGTTTTGTACTGCATTTTTTCTCGGGAATTATAACAGGATCATCCAAATCTATTTTTCTTTTTTTCACTTGTTCAGCATTCAATGAAGTAGTAGTAGTAGTAGTAGTAGTGACTGAATCCAGTTTCCTCTTTTTTGGTTTGTTCTTTTGCTCTTCTGTTATATAAGTGTCCATGTATTCAATTGTAGCTTTTGGTTTTTTCTTCTCTTGATTTTTTCTTTTATGTCCTCTAAATCAATCAGACTTTGGTTTTCGTCCACGCTTAACTTTCGATGTTTCATGTTTTATGTCAGAGTTTTTTTTGCTTTCGCGTTTCTTGATTTCTCTTACTTTTTGTACTTTTCTCTCACTAGATGTATTTTTTTCCTTATCTTTCAGGTGTATATCTTTTTGGCATGACTGTTCAGTTTGTAGAATTTGTACAGAGTCTTGAACAAGTTTTTGAGACCCCTGTAATTCTTTCGCTAATTTATGTAATTTCTTCAAACAATTGTTTATATTACGTTGTTTGTACCTTTCATTCCAAGTTTTACTTTAGCTTTCATGGCACCTGCTACAGCTAATGCGGCAGCCTTCTCTTTCCAAGACGAATCACTTGCACGAAACCTATTCATTGCCTGTTTTGCTAGCACCTTATCAACCAAGTGACGATTAATCAGACCTTTTTCTTTTGAGTAAAATATATCGTGTTGTTTACAAGCTTCATCCAATCCGTTCACACCTGGGTCATTTCTGGCTAACCTTTCATCAAGCTTAGTGACAGGACCACAGTAATTGTACGTTGGGATGTGTAATTCTACAGGTAAATTATTTATAGCTGTATTGAGTAAGCCTTCACCACCATAGTACTTAATAGCACATGAGTGGCAAATGGAATGGTGAGTTTAATCGTGGACGTTACTAGTTATAATACTCCCGCTGCTTAATGCTGTTGTTGATTGATACGCTGCTAGTGATTAGTGGTGTCCATCAACAAGTAATGCCTTCATATATTTGCGTTTCATGCTGGAAAAATACTTCGTTCACCATACAAGTGACTTCTGCAATATTGTTCGGTTTGTGACCGGTTGACAATTTGGCTGTTAAATGAAGAATAATAACATTCATCACCCTCCCGTTTCCGTATAGTATAAAAAAGAAAAAATCAGATGAAGGTATCATTCTAAGGAAGAACACCGCGACGAACTGTCTGGATTTAGTTGCTGTTTTAGTGATTCCTTTTTTTACCCTAACAACGTGTTATCAAAATGAACCAGTTGTAGTTGCAGATCAGATATTCAACATTGAAGACGGAGTTTTCTATCTGTATGAATTACATAATTATGGAATCATGGAATTAAAGTCGTACCCAGCATTCTATTACTCAGGAAGAGAATTATCCATAGGCACAGAAATTAAAACTCACAACAATCAAAAAATTGGATATGTAATTGGACAAGATCTGAACTATTATCCAGTCACAATGAAGCGAAAAGGCTCAATTATGTACTGTGGACAATACAATATAAGGCAGTTGCTACGACAGGGATACGTTATTTTCCAAAGAAAAACATACTCTACCAACAGTTTTAAACATACATTCAAGCATTTCGACACTTCAGATATACATATATGATTGAATACGTTAAGATTCATACTATTTTTTTTCAACTCAAATACAATATCACACTACCGCTGTAGTTTCATTTCTTCCCTCGCACATATGACTATTATCTCATGACATGAAGGATGGTCGTCGTCGTCGTCATCGGTCGCAATTAGGCCAGGCTAGGCTAGGCGAGGCTCCTCTCATGCATATGTATCCGTACAAATTTCTTACTACCAAGCTAGGCTAGGCGAGACTACTCTCATGCATAATTATATATCACGATGGCTGAGGCAGGTTGGCAGAGTGAGTTAGAACCGATGTTGTTTAACTACTGGTTAGGTTTCTTGTGAGTGCGTCAATAACGATCCTCCAGTGCGACTCTTTGGTCTATTGTTGAGTAACGATCCCGGGCACTAAATTATTACTTCGATTTTTGGTAAATATAGTATTTTCAGTTTTTAGGCATATATGAGTCATATGACATCCTATAATAACCCATCTCACTTTGCATAATATTTAAAAGTGAAAGATTATATTATTACATTGGAACGTCTCATTTGTGGCTACAGAATAAATATATGAATATGAATATATGAAATATGAACTTTTTCATACAGTGTCTCTTCACCTGGGTTAGCACCCAAAGTTTGATGTTGTCAAAAGTTTATTTCAGTCAGAATGAAAAGGGTACTACATGTGATGAATGATATATCTCCTTGTTTTTCTTACCGCCAAATGAAACCACATGAGCTAGGCTGACTACTTGCTAATATAAGTAGGAATCACAAGTGATTATGACAGTATATTTAGATGCAACACAAAATGGGCAGCATATTCAGTAATAATTTTCTCGCATAGCAAATCTTACTGATTTTATAGACATGCAGACCAATACACACGATCACCACCCAATCATCCAGACGCCATCTTGCTACTCGACCAATTCTATTTCTGTCATCTAGGCATTGGGCGTAATGCGTAATTCCTCCATAGATGACACTTTTGTTGACGCTCACAGCGCTCATACCGAGCAAACGCGGAATGAACGATTTGCATACTACGAACGTGCTAGGGACTAGTCAGCAAGTTGGCATTTTGTCTGTTCTTTTTACATTATATGGGTTTTTATGTATGCCTTGCCGGCTAGTTCAATTCTAGTTCAAGCCGTCGATATGGCGAATTAAATCTATCAGTAAATATTGCAGTACTTTCCGCGAGCTCATCGCATCTAGGCTGGAGCATTAGTCTTTGGTTGCGTCTACATCTTCAACCGACAGTTGTTGAAAACGGCATGTACCAATTAACTCGAGAATACGTGTACAGGTGCTTTACTTGTTTACCTTGGTAAATTATTGCAATATATAGTGTTGCCGTCTGAAATAAAATGGGAATGGAACATAGAAATACATTTTCTTCATAAAAACTTTGATGTATTGCAGTTTATTTGAAACAAATAAAATAATTTTATATACATATATCTATAAAAATTAAATATCGCTAAAATAAATACATGTTAGGTTTTGACTAAATTTAATACAGCCCTTTCATCCGTAGGCCCTTAGGTTCTATAAAACAGCGCAAAACTAACGTAATCATTAGTACCTATATAAATACAATCAATGAAGACGAAAAAAGTAAAGCTATCATAAATAAAACTAAAAAGTAATGGCATTGCAAGTAATGGTTAAGATGATTTCCAAAATAAAACTAATTGTGAAAACATATGTTCAGGGAGTAGAAAATTAACAGGGACAGATTGTGAAGAATTAACAAAATGACAAATATTGTTCAGTCTGCTAAGAATAGAAAATATATCTAACGAATATTATTGACTAACTGGATTGACAGGTCAACATCTACAAATGCAAAAGTAGATATATATGTACGAGAGCTGCTACAAAAATAAAAAACCTTTCTCGTAACTCTGCCGGGAAAATTCCGGAAGTCACGGCAGTCTCATATTAAACGAAGCAAGAACTTCGACAATTTACTGTTGCCGTTATAGGAAACGTTGCCAAACGAATGTAAAGGGTACCTCACTTTTGAGATTATTCTATATTTAGGTGTACTTTTCTGAGTTTTCCCATTTTCACTCGTTATTTATCAAGATATATCTTTTTTGGCACATTGACAAAACAATTAACGCCCTAGATTATTCTGAAATATTTGGGCATATGGATTGCAAATTCATCACTGAGCATTTGTACTAAAAATGATAAAATGGAGGCATCTTGGTATATCATTGCTTAAAAAAATATGGATGGAATTGTTCACTGGGACAATACTTGTAATATACAGGGTGTTTCAGTTTATTGTTGCATAACTTTAAGATTCGATAGAACTCTTAAAATTAATGCATAAAATCTATATAAACATGGGTCGAAGAATGCGTGGCTTCCGAAATACAGCGTGTTTAAATTTACTTTCTAAAATAGTTTTTTTTAAATGTTTCGAACAATATTTGATGCATAACAGTGAAAATTGGTATACAAGGGTTTTTTGGTACGACAAAACGAACCATGGGCATAGTTTTACTGTAGCCGCTAGAGAGCGCTCTCTACTGTACCTGTAGTGTATTAAAATGACCTAAAATTTTTTCTTAGTGCAATTTTTTGCTTTTTGACTACAAAAACTGATTCTTCGCACTTTTCCACATAAAAAAGCTCTCTTGTGAATTTTTGTTATAGTTAGCCGTTTTTGAGATATTTTGATTTTTAAGGTTCGATGCATTTTTAATTATTCATGATAAAATAACGTTAAAAAGTCAGTATCTCGATAATTTTTAGAAGTAGGCTATGCCTGCAAATATTTTTGAAATTGAAAGCAGAATAAGGTTAAACGTCAATTAGTTGACAGTTAGTTTTGTTGTCTGTTGACACCTGAAACGTTTTTTTGCAATTGTGAGTGCACGAAATTTAGTTTCTTTTACCTGTTTTTTTTTTGTAAGTTTTATAAAAATGCAATTTTTATTCTCCAATCAAGAGTTAGCGGATATTCATTTTGTGTATGGCTTTGTAAGTAAATGGAAACGCAGCAGAAGCAGCCAGAGAATACGCACAAAGATTTCCAAACAGACGACATCCAACTCGCTCAGTATTTGAAAGAGTGCATCGCCAAATAATTGAAAATGGTTTTGAAAATCTCCAAAGGGATCAAAACATAAATTGTTCGTCAGCGCAGATTTACCCGTATGATTCTGCGTGAGTTTGATAGAGATCCGACCACAAGTGTTAGGAGAGTGTCTGGTGCCTTGGGAATTTCTGCAAGCCATGTTCACCGTGTTCTTGGAAATGACCAAAGACGTCCTTACCATTTGCAACCTGGGACGGAGAACGAAGAATCACATTTTGTCAGTGGATTCTTGATAGAACTGATAACAGGGAGTTTTTAAGTAACGTTTTATGGACCGATGAGTCATGCTTCACTAGACGTGGAGTGGTAAATTTGGTCGCATGAAAATCCGCTTGCAGTTCGGGAAAGAAATTTTCAGCATGAATTTAGTGTGAACGTGTGGATTGGTATCTACCGTAATCGACTATTTGGACCCTACCTTTTGCCTGCAAGGTTAAATGCTGCGACCTTCTTGGAATTTTTAAAGGCTGAACATGCAAATATGTGGGATGATGTTAGGTTAGATTTAAGAAGATTGGCCTGGTTCCAGCTTGATGGTTGTCCAGCTCATTATTCGAGAATAGTTAGAAACTGGCTGGACGAAAATTATCCAGAAGGATGGATCGGCCGTGGAGGACCAGTCGCCTGGCCTCCACGATTCCCTGACCTAAATCCATTAGATTTATTTGTGTGGGGATTTCTAAAAAAAAAAGTGTACCAGACCCCCGTAACCACAAGAGATATGCTAATAGACAGAACCAGGAATGCATGTGATGAAATAAGGCCTTATTTGAATAATACTATACCACGTTCGATCATTCGTAGATGTGAATTGTGTATTGAACAATTGGGTTGACATTTCGAGCAACTACTTTAGATTTTGTTTGTCCTAACCATCCAATAGCATTTTAGTTGTAAATAATTAATTTAATTTGTTAAAAATAATATTTGAAAATTAAACAAATTAATATTCTGTTTTTTTGTGTTTATTTGGAGTTAGGAATTATTACTGTGTTTAGAAACACAATCTAAACGATCATCTTAATTACTTGTCCAAATCGAAAATGTAAAAAAAATATTATTTTCCCATAAATAATTACAAATGCATCGAACCTTAAAAATCGAAATCTCAAAAACGGCTGACTACAACGAAAACTCACAGGAGAGCTTTTTTATGTTGAAAAGTGCGAAGAATCAGTTTTTTATTCAAAAAGCAAAAAATTGCACTAAGAAAAATTTTCGGTCATTTTAATACACTACAGGTACAGTAGAGAGCGCCCTCTAACGGCTACAGTAAAACTATGCCCATGGTTCGTTTTGTCGTACCAAAAAATCCTTGTATACCAATTTTCACTGTTATGCATCAAATTTTGTTCGAAATATTTAAAAAAAAAACTATTTTAGAAAGTAAATTTAAACACCCTGTATCTCGGAAGCCAGGCATTTTTCGACTCCTGTTTATATAGACTTTATGCATTAGTTTTAAAAGTTCTATCGAATCCTAAAGTTATGCAATAATAAACTAAAACACCCTGTATAGTTTATGATTTAAAACTGGAACTAAACATGAGCGCACACTCTCATCTATTACACACTTTCGGTTTTAGCCTAAACACTCATCAGAGTAATCCAGTTACTGACGATAGATAGCAATTCTATGTATACAAGACACATGTAAAAGATATAATTAATGGGATACAAGATGAATGCCATCTGGAGTTAGTTTTGCATGTTTATAGTAAATAAAACAGGTCATTCATTTGGAGGTACTTTGTCAAAAAGATAAATATGAACCTCATTGGGTTATCTTTATTACTGTATGAGAGCATTTTTGATATTAATTTTTTGAAACATATTTTTTCGAAATATCGGCTGTCACTGCGATTCATGTGGTCTAGTCGTTGTCGTGTCAAAGCTCTCCGAGGATATTTAACGATCGCTAAACTATTCGTCAATTGTTTGTCCGGGCGGTCCGTAGGACCTTTGCCCATTAGTCACTGTCTAATGAACGTTAGTCGAATCTATCAGACCTGGTTGCCCAGAAACCAGACAATGTCTAGAAAAATGAGAAAGGGAAAGAGAAGAAAAAAGGAGAAGAGCAAAGAAAAACAAGTGTTTAGTTTAAGAGGAAACACCTAGGCTTTTTGACTTGGTACAGGGATTAATTTTGAGGTGAACTAAACAAATTTTGATTCGGTTTTGTTAGAGTGTAATTTTAAGTTTACTAAAAGGTCGCGCTAATTTAAATTAATTAATTAAATTACAGTGCGCGCCGTGGCCTTGCATGTCTACGAACTTGCTCCACTGTGTAGTCCACTGAGTCGCGCAACAGAGGGTTGCTGTAAGATTCCGCTTGACTTAACGTCGCTGCGCCTGAAGCTTGACATAATCCCTCAAGTAAGGAATGTTAAGGTCTCTGTGTAGTGTCTCGTTTGAGACATACCATGGAGCGTTGCAAATTGTTCGCAAAGTTCTGCTTTGCAGTACTTGAAGACTTTGCATGTGTGTCTTGGAAAGAAAACACCAAGCCGCACATACATAAGTAATGGCTGGTCTAATAAGCATTTTATATAGGCGAACTTTGTTTATCAAACTCAATTTGGAGGATCTACATAACAAAGGATATAGTTGCCGAAACGCAATTTGTAATTTTGTTTTCAAGGCTGCTGTATGTTTCTGCCAGGTCATGCCCTTATCAAGGGTGAGACCGAGGTACTTGGCAAAATTTGTCCATGGTACACGATTGCCGTCTACAGAAACCTCTGCTGGGGGGTCGCGACGTTTTTTGGTACAATAAATAGCCTGCGTTTTCGAATGATTATAATTGCCGAAACGCAATTTGGAATTTTGTTTTCAAGGCTGCTGTATGTTTCTGCCAGGTCATGCCTTTATCAAGGGTGACACCGAGGTACTTGGCAGAATCTGTCCATGGTACACGATTGCCGTCTACAGAAACCTCTGCTGGGGGGTCGCGACGTTTTTTGGTACAATAAATAGCCTGCGTTTTCGAGTGATTAATTTTAATGAGCCACCGTTCCGCCCAATCTAGTACTTCTTCCACCGCACTCTGTAACCCATCGTGAACCATATCACCAGCACACAACTGGGCGACAAGTACAGTGTCGTCAGCATAGAGGTAGACTTCACAGTTGCTGGGGCAAGGGACATCATGGATAAAAAGTGAATGAAGGATTGGTCCTAGGACCGAACACTGGGGAACAATTTAACGATCACTATCGTACCAGAATAACACACTATACCGGGTGTTTCATATTCGACGCTCACCATTGGGATCTCGGAAAATATAATTGATACGAAGTCACTTAATTAGGGACAAGTTTGAGTATTTAGGTAATGAACAAAATTTTGTTTAAAAACTTCCGAAATTCAAAGTACTTCCGGAGAGAGATGGAAAAAACGAATTTTACAAAAATCGCTTCAATTTTTAATAAATTGTACATCTAAATTGCCACTCTTTCTCCTTTACAATACGACATAATTAGAATTTCAATACTACGTTTCGAACCTTGTGCCCCAGCATATGAATAAAGTTTTTAATTCTAATTCAAAAAATGTATAATATTTCATAAATTGACTTTTCCAAGCCTTAACTAGTTAAAAAAACGATTTTTCTAGGTCTAGGCCTTGCAATTATCAGATATTTGTTGATGGAACGAAAATTATAAGGAAATTAATAAGTATGGTGAACCCTAAACACAAAATGAAAATTTGATGAATGGTAAAAAATAATAATTGTATACAAGCAGAGGTAAATCATAACATATGTTCAAAATATTGTCCGTTATTTTGGAGAAGACGCCTGACACTTCTCTGCGCATGTTCACTGCTCACTTCATTTCTCTTCTCAGTTACTCTGTTAGTATGTTCAATTTGAGGTCTGGTCTGAGTATGGAACAAATTATTATCTGATAATTTCAATGCCTACTTAGGAAATTCTGTTTTTCTGAAATAACTAAGAAATAACGTAGTTCTCATAATGTCAATGAATGACATTATACATTTTTGGATTAAAAAATTTGTGCAAAAATCCAATGTAGCGTCCATAAGAAAAAATAAAGTTATAATGCTGGCGGACAAGAGACGGTAAGCTTATTTTTTGTTTTCGGCTGATTTGGCTGTCTATATATCGTATGATTGCACACCTCTAGACTTTTTCATTTGGGTCTATGGAGAAGAGAGTACGATTGAATAATTAGAAGTCACCCGCAGCGATGCACAACACTTGGAAAAATTATTTCCAAAAAGAAATTCCATTGTGGCTTCTTCTGTTTGCTTATTAAAATAACCCGACACATTTACTTGTTTGTTTTTGAAAAATTACCTCTTAATGAATCATCAATCATTTTTTTCATTTGTAGATGTTCAACTGTAATAAGCAATTATGAACAGTTTTGGATCCTCCGTGAAAAAATATGATACTCCTCACTACCAACAAACTCTATAACTACAACAGGATAACAAGATTTTGACACAGTTTTCGTATTAGTCCGAAAAAGCTAACAATTCAAGCTAACGTTATAAAAATAGTAACCAAAACATCATTCTACGCGATTCTTCATAGAAAATGCAGCCTTTTTATCATTAAAAAGAGTAAAATGAGCAAAGCCTTCGACATTACCCTTTACAAATAATCTTTTAAAATGTTCAAAAACTAGCGTCTTCTGAATACTGTTATAAAAAATTCAGATTCATAGGCACAACAAGGAGAACATGGAGATACTAGGAATCTCAAAAAGAGTCATAGCAGGCACTGTCACAGTCGCCATAACCTTTACGTCATCCTATCATTTTATCACATGTTTGTGTAGTTCAGTAGTTTAGTATCAGAACGTAATTTCTTGTATCGAAAAGCGATTTCGTATTCTCCAGGAGCGAAGTGCATAGGAGAACTGTATTGATCGCCGTGCACGTTGGCCTGATATTAGAATATATGCGTGACGTCTATGGTGAAATCTATGATGTGGAGTCAACTGAGATCTGGCATTGGTGCTAATATTTCGCTTTGTCACATCAAAAGAAAATTGTCAGTATTAAATTCAAATTGTTCCTAACCTGAAATCGGCTAAATGTCTGTTTGATTGATATACATTTGTTTTTGTATCGCCACATGTCAAATATTTGTACCCTATCTCCTCTAGGTGGCGCTGTTTCCGCGCACCCAGCGAATAGTATCCTACGAGCCTACATCGCACACAACATGCTAGCGAAATGCAGGTTGAAGTAGTTCAGGCAAATATCAGCAAAACGGCTGTTGAGCCAGTCCTCATGGCGTGGCACGCCTAGTGCGAATTTTGCAATTAGAAATGTTAGATTCAAGTTTTTTCAACATCATGCATTCTGATTTTTTAAATGTTTAAGCTTAAAACTAGGAAAATAACTTCAAGCAGAATGTTCCACAATCTCGCGAAATATAAGCCTGAAGGCTTCACTTGGCAGATCCTGATGCGCCATACGAAATCCAGAATTGCACCATCGATTACCTTAATGAAGATACGAAATGTGAAGAACTTGATTTTTGTACTACTTGCACTACTTTTATGGAAAATTATCCAATTATATGTCATTTTTCAGAATGACAGATGACGTAAATCGCAACCCTAGTTTTTTAGCGTCCACCTAGCATTCATTGTACATAGTTAGAATGGACTTTTTCGATCCCATTTTTCTCAAAAAATAGACATTCCCTGCACTTAAAGCTCTCCAAATATATACGAGTACCTTCAAGTTGATAGTATGCTGGTTGGACAGTTTATAACGAGAATTACAAAAAATATATTACAAACAAGCTCGTATCTTATCACTAGCGTTAGCAAACACTAGGTGGCGCTAATCACCTCTTATCACTAGTGTCAGCACCAGTCCGCCATATACGTGAATTCCCTGAACAGATTCTGATCTGTGATCGTCAGTTGACGGGGTTCTTTCGGTGGGGTTAGCTGCGCCCTCTCCGAGGTGAATTCCTCGTCGAAATTGCTTACGTCCTCCATGGATTGCTGAAAAGAAAATTGAAGTTTCAATAAATGGCGACAAGCGGCTTGACTTTGCACTACCAACGCAATGCTGTCATCAGTTCATAGATGATCATGTTCGGCATAAGTTAGTCCCCCTGAGAAAAAGTTAGCGACGAACATGTATAACAAAAATACTTAATAGACCAAGTCAGTCAAACAGGTTCATTCCATTAGTCCATAGTTTAGTCCAGTCTCGACCAATCTGGCAACGCTGCTATGACCAACTTCGCCACCCAGAAAAATTTTATGGTCCCATATTTTTTCCCTACCTACTTACTTTTCAGTTTTTGGATATTTTATAAACGGCGGACAAGAACGCAAAACGAACGATTTCTCAAAATGTTCAGGACACCTTGTATATTTTAACATCCTTTGACTCCCCATTCCATAACTTTTTTAATATCATGTTTTTGGGGTTTGTACCACTGATTTTTGAGTTACAGCTAACCTGTTTGTAACCTGATATCAAGGTAAATGAAAAATATTACATTGAATTTCAAAATAAAATAGCATTGAGCTGGTAACGGTAAATCGTTACAGTTAGTGTATTTTAACCATAAATTAAATCTGCCCAACCCTGTGTAATAAAGGCGACAAGTCAAGGTGTCCCTGTGATTCTAGTAATTCAAAAATCAGCCATACAAACCCTCGATAACCTTATATCGCAAAAAAATTGTAGAAAGAGGAATCAAAGCATGTCAAACAATGCGGGGTGTTCCATTTGAGAAGTTTTAAAAATGGTTGATTTTGTATTCTTGGCCACCCTGTATAAACAATAAAAAAATGAAAAATCAAGTGGACGAAGAAAATAGGGGATCACGAAAATGTTCATAGTTGCAAAGATGCGAATTGGAAAAGAGTTATTTTTTGATAAATTGTCCAATATCTAAATAATTTGAAAATAAAATCCTATAATACATTAAGTCAAATTGCTTCAATTGAAAGAGCCTTGACAAATCTCCAATAAAATGTAGGTCATTCCATAAAAAAAATGTATGTTTGGGTATCCATGTAGTTATGAATCGGTCTGTAGAGATAAAAATATTTTCTTAATCAGGAGCATGCTGTTGGGTGCAATCTTTGTATTTAACTTTTCAAAATAATACACGAGTTATCAACCAAACCCATACTAAAAACTCACCTTCTGTTAAAAAACTGTTACAGGTAGACATAAAAAACAACTTACGATAGTAGGCACGAATGGTGGAGGTATTCTACGGTGCAGGAGCTCGTCCCATTGGATATGTCTGAAAAATGCTTGTTTCTTCACGTCCTCTGCATCCCTCTCACTAGAACCCAACCTTCTGTCTGGACTTTTCCTCAGCAACTAAAGAAATGAGGGAAAATCTAAGAAATGACATTAGATAATTCTTTGAACGCCTTTACATATGTTTTTTACCGCGCCCCAGTGTCCAAAAAATTAGAAAAACGTCGATAAATTAAAAAAAAAATGTGATATTGTTGTTGGTGTTAAAAAAATTAAAGAAATGAGAATTCGTTACTTACCCTTCTCATGATGGCTATGGACTCTAGTGACAGGAATCTGGGATATCGAACTTCATCATTAACAATGGAATCAAACACTTCTTCCTCGTCATCGCCAGGGAATGGTGACTGGAATAAAAAAATGATCTTCGACTTAGTATTATGCTTTTTTCAATTTTTCAAGGGAAGACCGAAATGAGATTGATTCTAGAAACGTAGGCAATGATTTAACTGAACACCCTGAAAACTTGGCGACCACGCCTTATTGGAAAAAAGGTTCTAAGAAAAGTTTAAGGATATCAAAAAAGCAACTTGTCGATGACATCAAGTATAACCTAGACAATGACCTCAGAGGTCATTTGGAGGACAATTTTGTAAGTTCAAACAGCAACCACTATTTTTGACAGCAGATTCGTGTCTAGCTTAACAGTCTACATAAGCGTGCAGTTGAGGGGACCAATGCTAGAACCAGTCAAGTCCATTTTTGATGTGACTTGTTTTTGCAGCGTGCGCGAAAGCAGGCAACCACCAATACATTTATAAATTGCTTATTTTTAGGGTTACATGTCTCGTATTTGTACAGCCCGATAGATAATTTTAAACTGGGTACAAACATGATGTTAACTAAATTTGCCTAAAAATGGACTTGACCGGTTCTTGCATTGTACCCTTAATTTGCTATTTGAATTTACAAACTTGACCTCCAATTGAGCTGAAGTCATTGTCTAGGATATACTTGTCGTCATCGACAAATTGCTTTTCACATGTTCTAAAACTTTCTTTTGAACCTTTATTAAAAAAGGCGTGGTTGCCAACTTTGTGGAGTGTATTTAATAGGAACGTACAAAAAGTTTCTGTAATTTCTAGAACACTGATGACTTTTTGATAATTATATACTGGGTGTCCAAGATAAGGAAAAAGCCGCGTTATTGGGGCGTATTTACATGCTGTTGAGAAACTTTTAACAATTTCATGGCTTACTGAGATATTTGGAAAAACTTAAGTTTGGCCAAATTGTTTTTATTTCTTCTAATTTTATTTTAAGAAACATCAAAAAACTAAGGGAACATTTTCATTGGCATTTTTCAGGCACTAGATGATGGTGTTTCGTCTTTAGAAACCATCATCAGGCAGCACCGGTGGCCGCAGTAGTAGACTCTTCGGTCTCCTGAACAGTCGCCGTGCGCTGTGCGGGTTCGAACCCCGTCCCAGGAGAAATTTTTCTCTTGCTATGGATGTTGTGATTGTCCGTAGGTGGCAGACGGTCTCTGATTATCGAACGCAGAGGTAGCACCCGGCGGATCTCGTAGGCGGAGCCAGAATGTGTGCATGTTGCATCCACACGTGTTCCCTCGCCAGCGTCCGTGTGGCGTTCCCCCTTTCTCCTGTATCCCCCTGTAGCCTTAGGCCTTCATGGTAGTTGGAATATAAAAAATAAATAAAATATCAACTTCATTTTTTTATGATACAAAAAAAGTACATCCTGTAAGATTATGTGATTACTGATAGATGCATATTACATTACATAATGATATGATGGGGTAAAATTTTATAAAATGATGCTTAATCTAGCGATATTCAGAATAATGAATACATTTTTAACATTATTTTTATTTCACAATAGATGTCCACATAGGTTGCCATTATTTTCTAAACATAAATATGATCTTCTAACAGTAGAATTCGAAACATTTCTGGTGTAATCTTGCTAAATGCTTCCATTACACATTCTCGTAACTGCTGCTAAGTTTCAAAATTATGCTGATAAACTTGGTTTTTAATAAAACCCCAAACAAAATAGTCCGGAGGAATTAAATCTGGGGACTCGCTGGCCAGGATACTTCACTGGAGATTCTAATCCAACTTCCGGGAAAACGCCGAGAAAGATATTCTCGAACTTGCCCAAAATTATGTGGAGGTGATATCTATTTTTACACCAAATAAATTCTTCAGCAACTGTTTGTAGGTTTTTGCGAGACGTAACAGCCTTTTTGAATATTTAAATTTCAAGCCAACTCTAAACTTACTAGGCTGCCTTCTCTCTAGAAATTTATCATTTCTGAAGTATTTTTAGAATTCCTATAGCACAAAAATATAGCACGTCAGCATGTAGCACTTTTCTTCATTGCTAAAATGACCGCCTGGCATCTTTGACGATAATAAAGTAATATTAACAATAAGAACAATAAACGGTGACATGAAGTTACGTCAAGTCAAGCATTTGTTTGCAATGCCTACTTAAAAAAAATAAAAAACACACATTTTTGGCATTCAGGGGTTACTTTTTCGGACCTTAAAAACGAACCAATGCATAAGTTCCATTAGTTTTTTGATATTTCTTAAAATAAAGTCAGAAAAAAATAAAAATTAGTTGGTCAAACTTTAGTTTTTCCCAAAAATCTCAGTAAGCCATTAAATTTTTACAAGTTTCTCAACGCCCCCAAGAACGCAACATTTTCTTAATTTATTCTATGCTGTGTCTTCCATAGGTAATGAGACCCCCATGCATGGCATCCTTATATTGAGCACCCTGTATAGTGCCCAAAGACTATTATATACAGTGCGGTAGCATACTCATAGACCTTATGGGCTACTAAACAGCCAGACTGTGTGCACGTCACATGCTCACGTGTTTCCTCGCTAGAGTCCGTGTGATTTAACAGCTTTCCCTGTATCACCCCCACGGTTCGTAGGGATATTTAGGTCTTATGTGCATTATTAGCAGGTACATCTCAACGCTGGAGCTGGTTCATTATATAAGTTACCAGAAGATGGCTGGCGGCGTAGTACAGTGTTGTTACTACGTGGTCGGCAAAAAGGGTATAAGGTGGTCTAGTTTAGTTGCCAGGCTTCGGCTCTCCTATATACTACTACCACTACTACTACATCTTGTGGACTCGATTAAGTGTCCCCATTTCAGGAAACTGGTCGCGAATGACTGCAAAGATACAGATACCCGGGGACCAACAAAATCCCGACAACCCAGTGCAAGAGAAACGGGTTCTAATAAGCAAGTGTATCAACCAACAACGTTATCACCATTCTTCAAGGAAATCTGCGGAGGTCCAAGCTAGCCCAAAACCTGCTTGTTCAAATGGTGTGTGAGCGCAAGGTTGATCCAGTTATCTGTGAGCAGTATCAGAACCTAAAAGGGAAGATATGCTTTTCTGACAGTAGCGTTACAGCAGCAATATGGGTTAATAACCCGAACAACATACTTATAAGCGAGAGTGGAATTGGGGATGATCACCATACAGGATGCTTACAAAGGACTTCAATACCCCTCTCAGGGTGGAATGTGTCCAAGCTGAATCGCGAAAAGTTCCTCAGTAAGCTTAGTAGAACCGGATATTTGTCTGTGTCAACCAGTCAATCAAGACATGCAGTCGATGCCAAAATGAAAACGAGACGATGCATAAACGTCAGCATATTGGTGGACAGTGTTGGATGAACCTATGTAAGGAAGTAGATCAAGATGAGTGGGGACTTGGGTATAAAATTGTAATGCAGCGATTAGGGAAGCAGGCGCCAGTTACACCGTTTGATCACGACACCATGAAGGACATTGTTGATACCCTGTTTCCGCAACACCCGATAACTCCCAAGCAGTCGGCAATAGTGGAGGCAGACATCCCCCTTTCCCAGTCAATGAAATGTCGAAAAGCTCCCGGACCAGGTGGCATACCTGTAGAAATAATCAAATTATCAGCCAATGGGTGTCCAACCATCTTCCTGAATATGTACAATGCATGCCTGCTAAGCGGAACCTTCCCACAGAAATGGAAGGTGCAACATCTTGGGCTGTTGGATAAAGGAAAAGGTCCGCCCATTCCGCCAACGTCTTATAGGCCCCTGTGTATGCTAGATGATGCCGGAAAATTATACGAAAGACTGCTGAGACGACTTTGCGAAGCGGTAAAGGAGGCAGGTGAGCTTTCCGGAAGGCAGCATGGTTTTAGAGTTGGCCATTCAACTATTGATGCCATTCAAGAAGTGGTGGATTATACCAACTCAACTTGGACAGGAAATCATAGGACGCGAAATTCCTGCGTGCTAGTCACCCCAGACGTCAAAAACGCCTTCAATTCTGCAAGGTGGAAGGACATCCTTGCCGCACTTGAGCATCAATTCAATGTGCCAGTGCATCTCCTGATTGATTTACCAAACGACACAGGGGTTAGAAAGCAGGCAAGTCACTGCTGGGGTTGCGCAAGGATCTGTTCTTGGTCCTGAGCTCTGGAACATCATGTATCATGGCATACTGAGAATGGAGCTTCCGGAGTGGGAGAGGCTCATTGGGTATGCAGATGATATTGCTGCAACCGTTCAAGCGAGGGGCCCAGAAGAGACAAAAAATAGGGTGGAATATGTAGTGGCACAGGTGCGCGACTGGCTTAAACTGCATGGTCTACAGCTAGCCGTTGGTAAAACAGAGTTAGTAGTGCTGACAAGGCTGAAGAAATTTCCGGTACCCTTGCAAGTCACTCTTGGTGGTGTAACCGTTGAAGCAGCTGACACGGTTAAATATCTAGGGGAGATAAAGTTGAAAAACGCTTTTTAGCGACAGTTCGCCTTTTTATACTTTGTATAAATAAAGCCGGATTATTATTATTATTATTATAATAGACGCGAAGCTGACGCATTTCAAGCATATCCAAGCAGCGGCACACAAGGCAGCTAAAATGGTCGCATTGCTATCCACTCATGCCCAACATAAATGGGCCTAGGGCGAGTAAGAGACGAATGCTCATGTGTGTTGCGCATTCGATCATGTTGTACGGCGCTGAAGTATGGGCAGATGTTTTAAACGTGCAGAAGTATCGGAAGAGTCTGACGTCAGTACAACGGGTAGCCGCACTTCGTGTAGCCAGCGCTTATCGGACAGTCTCAGAGGACGCCGTCTTGGTAGCGGCGAGTATACCGCCAATCGATCTGCTAGCCAGAAGAAAGCTACTGTACAACAGACCCCAAAGTGGAGATCTAATAACAAGCTAGAATCATCACGCTACGTAAATGGCAAGAACGATGGAGACGGCAAGAACATGTGGCAACATGGACCCATTTACTCATCGCAGACATATAGGTGTGGTATAACAGGCTCCATGGAGAGGTAAATTTTTATCTATCTCAGTTTTTCACTGGCCATGGACTTTTTAACGACTACTTGCATCGTCTCAAGCTGACAAACACACCGCAGTGCGTCTTCTGTGCGGAGCTCGACAGCCCAAGGCACACATTTTTTAACTGCCTCAGATGGAATTCCAGAAGACAGCTAGTCGAATTGCAAGTAGGTGAGAGACTGATCCCGGGAGGAATTGTAAAGTTGATGGTCAGGAACGAGAGGTTATGGAATTACATCGCAAGGTATGTGGAAGAAGTCCTAAGGGAAAAGAAGAGAGTGCTGGCAGCACCGTTTCTGAAGAAATGCGAAAGCGGTACCGGAGCGATGTTACCAATGAAGAACGGGCACGTGTATTCAGGAGGCAGGGTTTTTTACTGAAGTAGGATCCTCCAGTCGTCGCAAAGAGCGGCGCGTGCAACTTTACCACCGCAGCACAGCTTTTCAAGAAAGAAGACCATCACGTTTTTCCCCTGCCAATCAAAAAAAACTACTACTACTACTACTACTAGGCCTTAGGCCTTCGTGATGGTTCAAGTATAAACAAAACATTGGCAGGATTTTTGTTATAAAAGTCAAATAAATAAAAATTTTAATTGTACCTCCCCAACAAGCATTTCGAAGATGAGTACTCCTAAGCCCCACCAATCCACGGCTCTGGTATAGGATGTCTCCGTGAGTACCTCAGGAGCAAGGAACTCAGGCGTTCCGCAGAACGTACCAGTACGATCTCCGAAGCCGATGCCTTCTTTGCACAGGCCGAAATCGGCAATTTTTACGTATCCTTCAGTATCCAGCAGCAGGTTGTCCAATTTCAAGTCCCTGAAAATTAAATAAACAATGTAACAAACAATAAAAATGAACAAAAACGAGCATTTAAAAAAATAAAAACCTGACTTCATAGAATTAAAATCCCTTCTTCAGCAAATTGTCTAGGTGAATTGAGTATTGATAATTTGTTTGAAGGCATACTCAAAAAAGTAAATTTCTGCATATGTCATTTTGACCAAAAATTATGTCTTGGATAAATCTGGTGCGCAGATTACGAATTTTATGTCAGTTTTTATCCGTTTCCTCTATAGACTGGATGCATAGCATCCAATGGGGTATTTTCCAACTTGGTGATATGGTGCTATTGAAGGCTGAAATCGATTGTTTACACCATTTATCAATTGGTATACACTTTGTACGCGCTTTTTTCACTCATTTGCTGAAAAAAATACATTTGAATTCATACCACCAAAGTGGTTTCATTTAAACTTCTTGTATATCCTTCCGAAAACATCAGCCAATAGGAATCGATTTTTTTAAAGGTTCTCATTAGAATGTGACGATATTTTTATCAAGGATCAGAATCAGCGCTATTGCCATGCACTGGAGAATTTCATGAAAGTTCACGACTTAGCAACGCTTCTTCATTCCAATCAACAGTGTTGTCTCAATGGAGTACCTGTCTATGTACCTTGTATATGTATGAATAGCTGTAGGTCCGCAAACTTGGCAACATTGTGGTTCAACAAGGGTCAAACCGTTGACTTTTGACAGTGACAGAGTGCCGTACCCTGTTTCGTGCTGTTGATTTTGTGTTATCCGTTTTGTAACATTATATATTGAATTCTTTGAACATTACAACAAAATGTACTTTAAAAAACGTGTCTTATTTAAAGTGTGTTAAAACACAAGTATCAATTCGCCTGATAAAATATTCCTTATCAGTTCCGATATCTAATAAAATAGCGCTATTCAAGTGATAAATAATTCTTATCAGCCGAGTAGATCATTGAAACTACCTCTTCTTTGTATAACCAGTATTTTATAGGGACATTAACTATAAATTATAAATAATCTACTAAAAAGTAACATAATATATTAGGTTCTACCATAATGTGCATGATCACCAAACAAGATCACTAAATAATGTGTATCAAATTTCCACAAGAACTAACATAGGTTTAAAAAATCCGATCACAGACGCAATTAAGAAATTTTATAATTTACCTCATTGTATAAAAGATTCAAATAACTATAGAAGTTTTGTTAGAGAATTGAAAGATTGTAAAAATGTTAATTAATTTATTTGTTGAAATTATGAGCAACATTGCAGTGTATCTGTAGTTCATAGATATTAATTATTGTCTTGTTATTCTCGGGGCCAGTGTTTGCAAACACTGATTAGGGAATTATTGTTAAAACTGGTTATACTTTTTGTATTATTGTGTTTAAATAAATTATTTAAAAAAAAAGATCTTGACACGAGGATTCTTTGGTACCAGGCTGCAAGTATTGAAGGCCCCATTCCTACCACTATGTTATACTGTTGTGAAGATCATTTTGACGTAAGTTTATTAACAGAACTAAAGTTTTTCAAATTATATTAAATCACGGTTTATTTGCAGTTGGCAAATTATGCAGACAATTGGGCAGAGGTTACGACTAAAACCCGGCGTGAAACCACACAGGAACCTGTCAGGTCAGAGTTTAGGTATACGTCACAATTGACTCCACCATCAAAAAGAGGAAAGCTGAGATGTTAGAAACATTAGGAAAAAAGCTTCACTGCCAGAGAAAACCAAGGGCAAAATTATTTGATGAATCGCAGCCAGGTACAAACAGAGATCTGCATCATGATGAATCTTGCAAGCAAAACTCGAGTATGCTACCCCTGAAGAAAGCAACCAAAGGAATCCAAGTTAAAGTTGATACGAAAACAGTGTCAACCAGCACACTACCGCATACTGCAGAAAAGGCTGTTGCCACTAGTCATCCCAAACAAAAACAATTGGTTGAAAAGTGCTCAGGGATTTGTAGTGATACCACTAATTGCTCAAGTGGTAGTTCCTCCTCGCAGCTATCAAGCACTTCGTCAGGAAGCAATGGAGCAAGACTGAAGACATCAAAAGAGGAACTAGAAATATCTAAATTAGAGAACAATAGTCGGTTTTTCTTACGTTTGCCTGAAGACTGTTTCTGTATTGTAAATTTATTAGTTGATTAGATTGTTGTTTTGATCACAATGAAAAAAATTAGGACAAATGATCAGTTTTCAAGAATGGGAATTGATTTTGGTAAAAGCACAAGTGCAATTTCTAAAAATTTTAATAAAACTGTTGTAGTAATGGCTCCTTTAATGACACAGTTGATTGTTTGGCCTCCCAGTTGGAAAATCAAAAAATTAGTACCAAATTAATTTAAAGCCTATTACAACATTTGCTTTGACAGTCTTCATTGTGTCGATAGTATTCATCATCGATCATCTCGTAATCTACTTTCGGTAAATTCGAAGAATCTGCTTTCACGAAGTTTTATTCCATATTTTAATTGTGTATTTAAAAAGCTAAATTCCAAATCAGTCACTGCACCACGCTGCACAAGCTAAATCACAATACCAAATCGTCAACAACAACGCCAGAATGCATCATAACCTTTAAATTATCTGTCAAAAAAGCAAAGACACAGAACGCAAATAGCTCCGGACGAGTCTGTAGAACAAAATGGGAATATCTCTTATCCTTGTCACACTGTAATCGCCGAACAAATGTAGAGTCACATTCTAATAAGGGGGCGGAGAAAATATTACTACGTCACGCCAGATATTAATACGTCACACAGTTGGCGGCAAATTTTATTTTTAAACTTTGAAGCCGAGTTTTTGTTACTTCCTGTTCAAAGAAAAATGTAAAATTACTCAATATATAATGTTTAGATGTAAAGCTTCAATTTGAAACTAAAATTTTTTTTTGCAAAATACCCCATTCCGTCGTCAATTTGGTGTTCGAATAAAGATGAAGGAGTGACTCACCTGTAGATGATCTTATTCTCGTGCAAATACTGCAAGCCAAGCACGACACACGCCGCATAAAACACCGCCCTGGGTTCATTAAAGACATCAGCATGTATGTGCATCATGAGATCGCCACCAGCAGCATACTCCATTACGAAACAAACGTGGGCATCCGTTTGGAAACAGGCGAATAGGTTGACCAAAAATGGATGGCGGATTGAGTTGGCCACCTCAAAGATGCGTTTCTCTGATAGGAGGGACTCCACTTCATCACGGGATATTATGTCGCCTTTTTTTAAGGCCTTAATGGCAAAATACTCTCCTGAAAGAAAAAATGAAGTGTTGATAGAGTAGTTATTTTCATGGTAATGTTGTTTCCGTTTTGAAAAATGCCCGTATTTACCGCGACCACGACAAAATTACGTGTTATCCGAGAGTCAAAACAGAAGTACACTTCTCGTCTAAGACTGTGGGCTTCAAATAAAACTAAGAAAACACAACTTACTAATGACCGATTAGGAAAACTTAACAAAACATCTGAATTTAAACACATTGTAGTCAATGATAGTATCAAACAAAAGCGAAATGAGTAACACTTTTACAGATAACTTTTCTAATATAAGGAATAAAAATCAAATCTATAAAATTCTATTTTCGTTCCATATATTACGGAAAATAATTTCATGAGAACAATAAATTCTTTGAAGAACAAATCGAGTCGTGGCAAAGGTAAAATTCCTCCAAAAGTCCTCAAATTAATTGCTTCTTTCATACTGGCACCTTTGACTCGTATCATTAACTGCTTGAACAGCGGAATATTTCCTAATCTATTAAAAACAACTCTTGTGTTGCCTCTACATAAAGGTGACACGGGAAATATTGAAGATTATAGACAAATATCACATATACCATTATCAATGAATCTGCAGAGAAATTTAACTTGCTCTCTGATGCTCAGCATGGTTTTAGACAAAATAGGTTTATAAAAACAGCAACCTCTGACCTTCTGAATTCTGTTTTTTCACAATTAGATCAAGGTAATTATGGAGTAAGCATGATGTTCGATCTAAGGTATTTGATATGCTGGATAAAAGTATTTGAGAGGTCATATACTGAAATGGATTGGTTCTTGGGTTATCATAAAAATTCTCAGGAAATCTGGACATTCTCCAGGAGTCCGTATTAGGTCCTCTAATATTTCGGCTTTTTGTAAATGACTTGCCAGATTTCATTTCAAGGGGAAAAGGTACAATGTTTGCTGATGATACCGCGATTACTGTTATCTGGAAATTCTGTGGATGAACTGCATGAAAACGTCCTAGATGTCTCTGAGGACATGGAAATTTAGTGCCAAAAAAACAAGTTGACCCTAAATAAAACTAAAACTACCACAATAAGCTTTCATATTAGAAAAGCCATACATCCAATTACTAAGACAACATTAACAGCGTGAAACTTCTTGGTAGTTGGTTCGATGCAGATATCTCCTTCAGCACCCAAATTGAGAACCTATGCCTGAATTTAAACAAAGGCTTATTATGCCATATTTCATATGAAGCAGTATTTAAATAAAAAGAGCCTATTATCACTAATACTATGCTCTCATACACAGTCATTTATCTTACAACATCGTACAAGCATCAACAGAGTTTTTATATCACGAAAACGGATAATTAGATTGTTGTTCAACCTTAGTTTTGGTGAAACTTGCACATACACATTTATCCACAATAAGCTCTCGACAGTTCCTTATATTTACATACGGAGAGGTTCAAATTTGGCTAACGTCGTAATATATACGACAGAGGCGCGAGAAGCGTTCAATATGAAAGAAAGAGTGCGTCGATGGCGTCCGTGACCTCTCACTCGGGTTGCTAGGCAACAAGGTGCTTCTATCTCTGATCAGTTAAAACTATGCGAAGCAAAACATCAACGATTTCAGCATGCAAACTGAAAATATTAACCGTAAGACCACAAATTCAATTTTGAAATCAAATCGTTTTGGAACTATGGCATACACAAAGGCACACCAGTACAACTACATATCACTATATATAATACTGTGCCTCGTGATTCGCGAGATATCTAATTTAAAAATAAAATGTTTAAGTATTTAAGTGAGAAAATATGTAAATAAATGGATTTTTAAATTTTCCGAATCGTAAGCAATGTTTTTATTTTCAATTCTAGTGTTTTAACAAGTATTTCACTATAGTTTTGATTTTAACCACTACTATAACAAAAACACTAGTTAGCTATATAATATAGTCATCATGAACTTGTATTTTCTACCATGCATTTATTTATAGTGTGGTGCAACAGACACTGTTGACTCACCCTGTATAGTGAGTTTACGGTACAACTTTACGCGTGGTTTAAGCCTAGACCAGTGCTTAGAAGAAATGACGCTTGCATTAAAGAATGATTGTCCTCATCGTACGACTATATTCAAGTGTTCCAGATAATTCCAAAGCGGTAATTTCACTCTGGAGGATGCTAAGAGGGAAGGAAGGCCGCGAACGTCAGTAACAGAGGAAATCATTAATGTTGTGAGGAAAATGCTTGACGAAAACCGGAGAGTGACATACCAACAGATAGAGGAGACCTTACACCTTCATGCATCAGCAATTCATTCAATTCTGTATGACCATTTACACTAAGAAAACTGTTCTCTCTGCGTACCGCACAGTCTGACGGAAGAGCAGAAGATGGCGAGACTTGGTTGTATTATTACAAAGTTTGGGTCTTTGATGATGAGGACACACTCATCATAGCTGTCAGAAAATCCCAATCTGTTAAGAACAAAATGATAGCTGTATTTTCCGAGGGCTTTGGACAACGAGTGTACCGCACTTCCGGGTGAAACTTGGCAATGCTGGTTTGAGGACTGGTTTTGGCGGATGGAGAAGTGTATTGAATGTGATGGAAATTACTTTGAACGAAGTCAATAAATAAAGCTGTATTGCAAAACTTTTATAGTACCCTTTGTACTACTACTAACGTATGTCCTAAAATGTTTGGCACAAAATTCATTGACGTTAATTTATCAAACACAAAATAATATCAAGTTGCCTTTGGATACAAAGGTTTGTTCACTTATTTTACTGTCAGTTGATATTTATTTATTTTGAAGTGTTCGCTTCAAGCTGTAGTATAAATTAGAAATAAGAAAAAGTATCTACAAATTGGTTGGGCGGGTACCCAAAGCTGAGATCTGTCGAATATTCTCGAATGAAAACATTTCACGCAGAACCATTTAACGAACAATAGCGGAGTGCGAACAGGGAATACCATGTCTGAATCTCACAAAAAGACCACGTGCACTTCACAGAAGGATTGGTGAGAAGAGCATAAAATCAGGTTGGAATATCAACAAGGAGACTGGCTCGTCAATACAGATCTTCTAAGACTACGATATCGTTGGAATTGAGTAGGATTGGTCTTAAATATCGAAAGAGATTCAAGTGCCCCAAATACTCTCAAGCGCAACTCCTTCCTATACCAAGATGCTGTCGTCAACTGACGCGGGTACACTTTGCCAATGGAAAAATCATTATTTTAGATGACGAAAAGTACTTTGAGTAATTTTGGAATGAAGGGAAAGATCGGATTTTATACATACAACGTAGAGGAATGTCCTGACAATGTTAGATACAAAAATAAAGCGAAATTTGCAGATAAAATCCTTGCCTTGTGCGTGATTTCTAACAGGGGTGTATCCCAAAATTTTGTAGGAAGAGTGGGGGGTGAAGCTGTGAATAGTCAAGCTATATTGCTTCAGTTTGTCCACGAACATCATGCTAATGACCTAGCATCATGCCATTACTCAAGAGATACCAAAAACTGGCTTTGACAACACAACATGCCTTTTGTTCCCCAAAACTGAGAGACAATGATCTGAATTCGATCCAGGACCTCATGAGAGACAATCGAAGAAAGTTGCGTCTAGCAGAACTGGCCTCTCCACATAATTCGATAGTTCAGTTTAGTTCAGTATTGAGTTGTAATTTAAAAAACTAGCTAGTGTTTAAATAAATTTCTTCATTAAAAAAAGATCCGATAAATATTTTGTGCCAAAACTTTTACGGCATACGTTACTACTCAAAAGCTGGGCATCGCCTTGGCGGCGAAATGCTCTCCTGGGCGCATTTCTTGAAAACGAGGGAATAGAATAACGAGTGGAATGTGCTATTTTAATAGCTTTTGATGTTTGTTTTAAAGTTTATCAAATAATTTTGTGGTTGCATTCTTTTTTAGACATGACAATAACCCACAACGAAGAGAGTTACGCACCTTTCTCCAAATATCCCCCTCCCTCCTCCTAATGGTAAATAGAAAAGCTTCTGTTACATGTAAACAGTAACTAACCGTAACCTTATACATCAATAATTACCTGGAAACATGATCAGAACTTTAAAATAATACAAAACAAAAATCGTTACACACATGCAAGTGACATGGAAGTCGATCGTCTTCCACTAGGCCTCCTGGATAATCGTTACATTGAAGGTTTCACTATTTTTCTAACGAAAAGTAAACGCTGACACTTCCACATCACATGAAGTGTCATATTAATAATAACCAGAGATAATGTATGCTTCAAATCGAAATAAAAAATACGTTCTTTTCAATAGTTGATAACCAAGCTACAAGACAAATAATAATGTGACCTTAGGTGATTATTGTACTTGGCGGCCAGGCGTCCATAATTAGGTGACCTAAAGGGATGAGTATTGCATTTGCCATTACTGATTTAAGTTATTTACTTTCCATTTTTGATTTGGAAATTCTCCGAACAATTTTAGAGTTTTTATTTTTTTTATATTTTCCAATCCTTCCATATTGATCCAAAATTTCAAGCAAAATTTGTCCTATCGACTTATTTACATTTACGAAAAATATAATGTAACTGTGCCACCTATGAGTAGTTTCGCCAATAGCGGTACTACCGACTCCTACGTACGGTAACAAGAAAAAGTTTTTTTATACTCCAACTACCACGAAGGCCTAAGGTCTAAACACCCATTGGGTACCGTGGGGCTATAGAGGGATACAGGGGAAAGGGGGAACGCCACACGGACTCTGGCGAGGGAACACGTGTGCATGCAACATGCACACATTCTGGCTCCGCCTACGAGATCCGCCGGGTGGTACCTCCGCGATCGACAGTCAGAGACCGTCTGCCACCTACGCACAATCACATTACATCCATTGCAAGAGGAAAATTTCTCCTGGGACGGGGTTCGAACCCGCACAGCGCACGGCGACTGATCAGGAGACCGAAGAGTCTACTACTGCGGCCACCGGTGCTGCTCACAGTTTCTTGGCACCTCTGAATTACGAAGCCCGCTGCTAAGAAGCCGGACAAGGCCGACCACCACATAACCGCCACATTTTCTCTCAGGGGAGTACAAGATATTCACCATGCTTCTAGCATTGACGCACTGATGATTGATGAAAAGCATGAAACAAGGTTATGGTCGCAGAGACGGTAGGCAAGCAGATCCTATTCAGCTTCAAATATTTACTCACCTGTGTTCTTGTACTGAGATAGGATGACCTTTCCAAAATGTCCCCTGCCCAATACGCTGATCAGTCTGAAGTGTTCGATGTTAAGGTTGGTGTACTGTTGGGATTGCCGTTTTGATTCGTAAGCGCTGTCCCTGTAGCACTGCTGTTCCCGTGGCGGAGGCCTGCGGATTACGTTCATTGCTGCCAACGGTTCAGGCTAGAAAAAACACAAATGCCTCATTTATCATCTGGTGGATAATAGTTGTAAGTTTAAAGCAATGCAGATGATAGTCTTGATGCAAAATGAATAGCTAAGGATACAATAATGTCATACATATGACTCACTGTGATCCTTTTATTTATTGATTAACGTATTCTACAGGAAGATAGCAAACCTAATACTATATTCACGCGACCAAAAAATTATCCCATATAAAATGACACAACATAGCGTCACCTACGAGAATGTGTTACTGGTACGTTTCTCCTCTCCGCAATGATTAGAAATCTACTTTAAAAAAGTTATTGTCCCATAGATGGCCCTGTTGTCAACTATATATGATCATTATATAGCTACCGCGTCATCTGAGACACTAAACTTTTCAAAGTAGATTTCTTATTATTGCGGAAAGGAAAAACATTTTCATAGATGACGATGCGGTATTTCATCTCTAATAATTTTTTGGATGCGAAATATAGTATCAAGTTAGCTATCTCCAGGTTGAGTATGTTAATCCATGCTTGCTGCCATTCACCTCCACACTTATGAGCACCAGCGATGTGTTTATCCACCAGCTTCTTTTTAGATTTTCAAACAACTTCTTAATGATACGATCAGTAAACGATAGTTTATCTTTCATTTCTGCTGTAATTGTTATCGAAACACCAAAACCGTCAAAAAACAAACATAACCTTAGGAAGCATAAGCAGCATACGCAAACTGTCACAATGTCAATTTAGACATCAGCACCCTTATTACATACGGGTAACTTAAAAAGTGACAATATATAGATGCTTAATGACATGTAGGTTTTTCCGAAAAATGTCACCTTGAGATCAGCTGTCATTCACCTCATGTCCACTTATAGTAGCTGTGCGTGTTGCCTAAATGTCGTGTCACTTGATCTGTATGGTTTTACTCTGATGTGCTCTAACATCTGCTTCAGAACGGGCACTATTCGAGGCCAGAAATGATAAGTGTTGATGGTATGATTTTTTGTTGTAATCAGTTTGGATATCCATCAAAATGATATTAGCTTTAATGTTTAATTAAATGCACCCGTTGAAAGATGTTGGTAAGCAACGCCCTCTGCTAATCACATTTGATCAATGATACACATACATCCCAAGTGGACAGAGTTCTTATTTTTACAAGCCTTTTGGTCGCAAAACCCACATGTCCTTTGCAATCGAACCCTATCCCGATAAAAGATATTCATCGTGGGTAGCATGTTCAGTAAAAAATTTCTCATATAGCAGAGGTATCAATGATCAAATATTACTAACAATTCACACAAGCAACCAGATACATCTTAATATTCGATTATATTTTCTTCGTCACATCTTGTTTAGAAGTATACTATATAGAGTATCTCGGCAGCTAACGACACACAAAGCATGCTGGCGAAATGTGAGCTGCAGTATCTTAGGCAACATGGTCCTTAAGCCATTCGTCTATGAGTGGCGCTCACAGCGCGTAGTTGCGGAATGGGCTAGCGACTGCTTAGTACACAGGTTGACATTATACCGAATTTTAAATGATACATCGATTTATGTAATGCAGGAGTAGAATTTCTTACAACGAGCCTCCCTCAATTGAAACTTTTTCACATCGATGAACCGCAAATGTGCAAAACTTCGAGGTATAACACTGAGGCATCTACGGTATAAAAATATTCGCTTAGATTCGGATTTACCACGTGAAGTAATATTAAAAACAATTACGTACATATAAAATAGAGCAGTAAATAATTAACCAGATTTGCAAGTCTAAATAGTGATATATGTTGTATGTTATCACTGAAGCATAAGCATGTGCAAAAATATATCACACTAAAAAAATATACAAATTGCAGTTAGCTACAGCTGAAATAGACAAGTTCAGTAAGTATAATACAAAAAATCATCTGCAAAAGATCATCCCAAAGGCATTTATTTCAACCCAAGAGCAATATTCTACTTCTGACACACAAGCTAAATAAAGCAAGAATTACTGAGGAATTAAGGTGTTTCGGTTCGTAGCGACACACTTCATTTTTTCATTGTCGAAAAGACATTATTGATTAAAATTCTCTGATTAAATGATAAAGGCGAGATTTGGATACAGATTTGATGGATTTAAAGTCATGTACTATATCAACTATATCAACCGGGTGTTTCAAATTCGAATCTCACCATTGAGATCCCTGAAATGGTAAGAGATACATCGTCGGTTAAATAGGGGCAAAGTTTCGCTGAGAAAACGGCAAATTCGAGTATTTCCGGAAATAGACGAAAGAAATCGAATTTTCCCAACGCAGTTTTTATTGTTTCCTGACTTTGAGCTGGCATTTCAGAATAATGGGTACATTAACATTGCTATTTTTTCTCCTCTACATGATAGCATAATTAGAATTTCAATATTCCTTTCGTCTCTTGTCATCAATAATCAACTTTATCAAAATGTATAATATGCCATACATTAACATTGCCAAGCCTTAATTATTTCAAAAAACAAAATACCTAAGAATGCATCATAATCATCAGATAAGCATTTGTTTCATCGTATCATCAGCAAAGTATTCCTTCAGTTTTTAATAACTAAAAATAGGTGAACAGTCCCAATTTAGTGTTGGGTTAATACTAAAAATCTAATGTCTAAAAAACTAATCTTCCTATAGTTGGTTATAACTCATTCGATAAAGAACAGCCTAATACTGAAACTTTTTTATTTTAGGGGTCGTAGTGAAAACAGTATTATTTCATCTGACTGGGCAGCATTCGTGATTCGTTACAGAGTGTACTTTGTACTACTCTGTAACAATTTTACCGTTCGTAATTGTTTGACGTACCTGTTCCTAGAGTTCGGAATTAGAACAAAGTAATCCTTCTGGAACATCAAAGAAGCACTTTTTTCTCGAGGGGGAATAAGAGTGTGGTCACCTGTCATTTTTATGGTTTATTGTTTGTTTACTTTATTTGGTTATCAAATCGAGCTCAACATTGGCAGAATATACATTTTTCACGATGATTAAGCTCCCCCGCATCCATAGCGTTTCTTATAATAAATAAAATGGTTCCAGAAAACGTGCTTAGAAATAAGTCGGCTGACATCAAGTGTCATTATATGACTAATAATTTTGGAGTTCTAAAAATAAAGTTTCACAGTATTCTGGAGTAGGATTTCATCTGTGAATCTACATTCAATTACTGTGTAGGGTATTACATTACCAAGTGATTTACAAACGCACCCATGATGGAAACGTTTTGGAGTAAATAAAAAGCCTCGACGATGTAGCAGCTTCCTAAACACATTTTATATGTCATGTTTACATCTATGCACACATCATACATTCAAATACTATTAATCTACAGATGAAGTATCAGGTAGAGCTTCTGCACCGTGCTAATCGCTTGTTATATTCGATAAATTAGCAAACTATCCCAATGTCTTCCAATCACGCTTTTCAAAAATTCGGATAAACATGTGATAAACTCATTTTCAAATCCAACTATAACAATATTAAGTTTTTTGAAATAACCCAGGTTTATGACATATTTGTACCTTTTTGAAATCATCATTAAAAAGTCTATTCACTTGTGCAAAAATCTTCTTTTCTTTTGTCTATCTTCGGAACTTCCATTTTCTTGGTTACCTAAGTGCGCACCTTTGCCCATATTTAACCGACTTCGTATCTCTTACCAATGGTGAGAGTCGAATTTTAATCACTCGGTATATAGATGACATCCTGAAAACAGCGAAGACGCATCACAAAATACGTCATTTTGGAATGAAAATTAACATTTTAAAACCAACGTCAGTTCTTGAAATAACTTTTTCTAACTAAAAATGCGATACATCATAAATCTAAATATTCCGATATATCTTTTAAGACACTAAACAACTATGGAAAAAAGATAGTTAGGAAGCAGTCTTTTTGAATGCATTAGTGACAAATGAGGAAAAAAGTTAATTGCGAAGGTATACACAACGCGTTGTTAAAGAAACCCCAATGAGCGAAGTTCAACGACAAACCATATATGTGTGTACCTCATCATCTGGGAATTCTATAACAGGCTGAGGACTAGGGGGTACCAACTGATCTGGAGGTATTGTGGGCGTTGAGGGTGTTGAGGGTATAATAAGAGGTCCTGGTCTAACAACCTCCTGTTCCTCGAGAAAATCGAATTCCTTTAATGCCGCCACGCTCTGGAATCCAAATATCATTACTTTAACACAGCTCTTGGTTTTTCTCTATCAGATAACTGAGGTACAAGTGTTTATAAAGTGTTTTTTTCTTTTGAAATACATTAGTCTTTTTTCCATCTGACAATTTAGATCCTTACATCATACACTCAGAAATATATAATTCCTTCGCATCTATAGTTCAATTATAGAGAATTTAAGCCACACCGAAAGAATTTACCAATAGATTACAAAAAATACTGAGGCAAACATATTAGCAGTTTCGTGTGAAGGAATTTACAAAAAAAGGCCAGCTAAATTAGTTATATACAATCTAAATTTTAACTTGAAGGCCCAACAACCAGACTCAAAACAGATCCCAAATAGTGTGATTTTGCAATTTAACTACTGGGTTGTGCAATATTGCGTAACGTGGAATACGCAAATCATAAGTTTTTTAAATTATAGCACTTTGTGCAAAGACAACCTGTGAAAGAAAATGTGCTACCAAAGAAACTTTTTTCCTAACTAGTCAAGACTAGGAATAGTATGGAATTAGCTGAAGATGATCCATTTTCATACCAAATATCCAGTATGTTATTAACAATTAAATAGATATGCTAAATAACTAAACCTAACATAGACAAGGTGGGCCATTTAAAGTGGAACCATCAAGCAACCCTATATCTTTGACATTAGTTGTCAGACCGACTAATGTCATACCGCGTTGGAAGCGTCATTTCAGTACAATTTTAACCATGGAACAGTACACACCAAAACAACGCGCAGAAATAATTCAATTGTACATTCAAAATAATAATAAAGTTAAAAGTGCCACAGCTGAGAACGCTAGCAGACGTTTATACGCAAAATTTGTGAACATCGGTAGTCTTAGTAATGCCAGTCACCTATCTAGACAACGAACAAGACGTTCCGATGAAAATATCGAAGCCGTACGAGCCAGTGTTGAACATCCGGTCGTCGTCGTTCTCAAGAGTTAGGCATCGCTCGAACCACTCTCCGACGCATAATTCGTAAGGATTTGAAGATGTTTCCATACAAAATTCAAATGGCTCATCAATTAAACCCAGCTGATTATCCGTGTCGCTTTGATTTTGCTAAATGGAGCATTGAAATGGCCGAAAATGAAGATGACTTTTGGCGAGAAATCATCATGTCCGACGAGGCACATTTTTCGTTACATGGAGGCGTAAGTAAACAAAATTGTCGGTTTTATGCTACCGAAAACCCTAAATTAATCGAACAGCAGCCTCTTTATAACCAAAAAGTTACTGTTTGATGCGGTATGTGCGCGAATATGGTCATCGGGCCGTATTTTTTTGAAGACGATGATGGAGCTGCGGTAACTGTCAATGGTGAGCGTTATCGAGCCATGATAACGACTTTTTTGAGGCTAATTGTTTGTGAAAATGACATGGACGATTACTGGATCCAGCAGGATGACGCCACATGTCACATAGCTCAAGCAACAATCAATTTATTGCGACCATTGTTCCCTGGACAACTGATATCGAAAAATGGCGATTTTGACTGGCCACCGAGATCACCTGATTTGACGCCACCAGAGTTTTATTTGTGGGGCTATTTGAAATCCAAGGTATATGCTAATAAGCCAAAGACTCTAGCTGCCCTTAAGAACAATATTCGTCAAGAAATTGCCGTCATATCCGCCGAAACATTGGCCAACGTGATAGAAAACGCCGAAAAAATGCCACATTTGGTTATCAAGGCCAGAGGTTGCCATTTGCGCGATATCATTTTTGAAAAGTAATTACAACAAATCTCCTTGGATCAAAATAAAGACTTTTCAAATGAACAACAAAAAATATTTTTAATGTATGATTTTTATAAACAAATGCTTCCACTTTAAATGGCCCACCCTGTACTTCTGGAACTCATAGAGGAAGGTTTGATCTTTACACATTTGACTACCTCAAATGTAAAATTTTAACCGAGCTGTAAGTATTATAAATGGACATTTTTAGAGTTTTCCAGACTTTAGATCGGTTGAAAACGATCAACTTTAGAGAAATGATTTAAAGACCTTTTCTGATCAAAATGATTCAAAATAAAAAGAATCCAGAGCGGAATTTTTTTTTCACTAATAACCTGTGAAATCGCTATTATTTACCGCATTCCTAAAGAAGTTACATTTCTCCCCAAGGAAAATAATGGTAATTAATAAATCCCCAGGCAAGTAATGAATGTGAGCATTCATGTCGGATAAAGAATTGTCACTGCTATTAAACTCTTATTTAGACGTTTCGTGTAGTTTATTCGGAAATGGTATAACGCAAAGTCTAGTCAAATTAAGGCACAATTTTACTAAGCAGGAGCTCAAAAAAGCGCTTGGAGCACAAGTTCAACCAATAAGAAGGTCTCTTTCAAGTAATGGATCTAATGAATGTTGGCCGATTTCTTGCAAAATCTCTCGAAAGCTAAAGAAAAATTATACGGCTTGTGCAAGATGAGCCCATATTAAATCAAGAAATACGCCATAAATCACTTGGTTTAGCTACAAAAACTTATTCTTCGGAACTCGGATAGTTAATAAATTAGTTTTTATATTGCATATACATAATATGGTCAGTAAATTGTATGGTATGGCTGAATTGCGCCATGTCAATCTTTTATATCAGGTTTTATCCACGTTTCGAGTAGGCCCCAAATTCTTTTTGCTTGATGGAATTTGCATCAACTTTTGTGTTCGGACACAAATGTAATACAGGTTTTTGTAGCTAAGCCATGTGATATATGAAGCTTTTTTGTTTTAATATGAGATTTTGGGGCTTACACAACTTGAATAATTTTTCGGTACTTTGAGATACATCTTAAAAGAAAGCGACCAAATTGATGAGATTCTTCGCTACCACTCAGACACCTTCTCATTGGTCCAATTTGTAGCATAAGTGAAACATTTAATCATGCCTAAATGTCCTATATTATAGTTAGTAGAGAAAAATATCTATAAATATGTACCTCGATGGAGAAGGCCATTATTCTCCTCGGTTATTATATCCCTAGGCGCTATGCGCCTCAGCATATAAAAGTTTTCGGATTATTGTAGCACACTATTGCAGCAAGGTAGGTAATGTATTATGAAAAAAATCGAGCTTGAAACTTTATTATCCAACCTATGCGTTTTCGTATCGTTTATTTCATCAACTAATCCCATACGACTCTTAAACACTACCAATCCACCATTCCATCATCTTACAAACACCCAACTTACCTCTGGATCTAACCGCGGCGGAATTGGAGGTGGCGTAACCGGCATCGCTGCCGTCCGCTTCTTGTGTATCGGAGGCGGCGTGGCGTGGGATGGCGAACTGAGGGGTGGCGTGCTGACATGATGCGGGGCAGCAGAGGCAGGAGTAGCAACGCTGGGCGCGGTCGCTTGAATTTGCGATGGGGGTGGGGGGAGAGGTGGTTGTGTTGAGGGTAGTGGAGGCGGCGTGAGACCGATCAGGCCTAGAGGGCGTTGACCGCCAAGGCCGACTGTGCATGGGTCAGGGGTCTCGCCGGGTGTTTCGGGTTTGTCATCTCCCGCTAGATCATCCTGTGGGAAAAATGTATCAAGTTCGTGATTCGATGATTTTTGTGATATGTCGCGGTGTTGCAATTGAGCTAATATAAATAATAATTAAAAAAATTAGGCTCATTTTTTGTTTGAAGTATAGTGAGTGATGCAGCAAACTTTTAAAGATCAGAGAATTCTAATTCATCAATGTTCATATTATTAAAATGTGTAACATTTGTGAAAAGCAACCCTGATTAAGTCCACAACTATACAACACGCAATATGCTTTTAAGTTTTCATAAGCATAAAACAACAGCATATGAAAGATCTGTATTTAACAACTGCACCTATTCAACAATTTAACAAAATATCTAAGAGATATCACAAATTATATTTTGTATGCCAGATCTGCTTTTATACTGTACAAGAGTTTTTAACTTACACATTTTAATTTTTAATATGTACATGTTTCTTTCGGGCTTAAAGGCGGATAAGCTGGAGTTTTCATTTCCAAAGCTTTCGGCTGCAACTGCGGTTGCCATCTTCATTGGCGCTGCAATCTAGGTTTAAGCGTTGGCGGGTGATGCCGTTTCTGGTGGTGCCTGCGTATTTATCTGTTCTAGGTGGGATTTCCAACATTTTGAGCCGCTTTGTGATTGGATTTTATTCGAGTCTTCTGTAATATGGTATGCCAAGTTTTGTTAAGGGATGTTTCTTCATCTTTTCGGTTGAACTTCTTGTTGTGGCCAATATTTCAGTTTTGTCAAAGAGGACATTATGGTCGTCTTGAAGGAGCACGTGTTCTGCCACGGCCGATTTTTCCGTTTCTCCCAGGCGGCAGTTGCTTTTATGTCCGACATAGACTTTTCCCCACGAACATGGGATCCTGTATACCCCTGCATAACTGAGTGGGTCCCTTTGGTCTTTTGCAGATCTCAGATGCTTTTGTATTTTCTTCATCGGTTTGTATAGTAGATCGTTTTGATGTTATATTTGGCCAGGATCTTTCCCATTCAATCTATTATCCCCGAGAGGTATGGTAGGAAGGCAGGTCCTTGCAGTGGTTCGGTCTCTTGCGTTATATTTCTTTTAGGACGTAGTTCCGGTATATTTCGGATTCCTGATAACCGTTTGCTTGTAAAACATTTAACTGTTTGAGTTATTGTTTAAGTGTTGGGGTCCACAGATCCACGTATTTCTGTCTATCAAGGTTTTGATGACCTCTCTTTTTGCATTGGATTGTGGTTTGAGCCATTGTTTAAGTACCTGTCGGTGTTCGTGGCTCTGCGGTACACTTTGTGGCCTAGCCGGAGGTTATAGTGTCTCGTCACTAAAATGTCCAGGAACGCTAATTATTTGTTCTGCTCGGTATCCATGGTGAATTGGATTTTGGGGTGGATGTTATCAGTATGTTTTAAAAAAGTTTACAGTTCCGTTTCTCCGTTACTCCAGATAATAAAGGTATCGTTTTGAATCCGTTGTCAGTGCTGTTTCTTCAAACCATTCGATATAAAAGTTCGCTATCACGAGACTCAGAGGGCTTCCCATTGCCACGCCGTCTTTCTGCTTATGGAACCAGAATTTTTACGGAATATCCCTTATCAAAACCTGGCTTACCATATTACAGAAGACTCGAACAAACCCCAACCACAAAGCGGCCCAAAATGTTGGAAATCCCACCGTTCAGTCCCAAGTCCGCCGAGAACAGATAAATACGCAGGCACCACCAAAGTCGTCATCAGTCGCCACCGTCAAACGCTTAGACCTCGATTGCAGCGCCACTGAAAATGGCTACCGCAGTTGTAGCCGACAGCTTTGGAAATGTAAACTCCAGCCCACCGCCTTTAAACGAATAAATCTAAATTTGCGCAACTTCGACCAATCATTCAAAATTTCCAGAAAAGATTAGATTTAAATTTTGAATCACTGTCCGACTAGTTCAAAAGAACTATCACTCAAACAAATACTGGATGAACTGTTTTGAATTTAGCCATTAAATAGTATTAGTAGTGAGCAACACACAAAGTGATTAGAACAATTGGCATTGTGGCAACTTCTAATTTTATTCGGATAATAAAAATGACAATCAATGAATACAAAAATTTTCGTGGCTCAAACAACTCCAGTGACGTTAAAACTCGCATATTTTGACCACCGCAGATGAAACAAAAATATTTATTGAAATGTCTCTTACATAATGTCCCATTGTCCGGCAGAATCAAACCGCATATATGTTTAAAATTCACCCTTATTGAACGACGCTTCGGTCCCAACAGTGACATCTTCCAAGTACAATTGACACTTTTGACAATACAGGGTGTTTAAGAAAGACGTGCCAATATTTCTAGGGTAGAAAGTATATCCAAAAACAAAAAAGCTCTTATAAATATGGGTCCAAAGAAGCTCCCCTACCGAGATACAAGTTTTATTTACGAAATTAAAAAAATATCTCTACGGAGCAGGTAAAGATACTGAGTTTAGATTTTAAACGCTCAACATACAGAGTTTCCTGGCTAAACTGAACCAGTGAGATAGAAACTGGGGAACCAGCACTCCTAATATAAAATATTATCTACACCTCTGGTCTTTTCGGAGAAAATAAGTGCATTTACATTCAATTTTCCATAAATTTCGTTTCTTAAGAAAATGTCTTCAACTTTTGGGGATATTTATGTTTATTCGAGTTATCATCCTAAAATATGCTTATGAAAAGGTTAAGCCTCCCCTATTCTGTAAACACAGTCAAGATTCGTGTTGGGAACATTATATGACATGTGAAGAAAGCTATGGAACTTCATTAAAACATTAATTGAATAATATGCGTGTCTTAACCTCACTCAGTAGCTTAGAAGCTTACCATTCATTAAACCTTGTCTATGAACGCCACTCGTTTTCATAGTATACTTCTGGTATTACCAATGTTAGATTCATCTGTTTGTCTAAAATTACAACTAGTAACTGTGGAACCCGTCAATTTGAGTAAAATTCTTATGATTTTACTTCTGACATTATCCGCCTTTTCTCTCTATATTCTTTAGCATTTCGGATTAAGTGAGCTCAACAAAGAAGATATCATAAATCGTTAGCAACCTCGGACACGAAGTAAGAGGACGAAGTATACAGAAGGCGTTCAACACTATTCGGACTACGCCAGGTATTTGCCAAACAGTCACAGCGTCTTTGTGGCGTTGTGACTCCAGAGGTCACTTTCAACACCTCCTTTAGGTTGGATTTTATAGCATATATTAGGCATTATTTTTTGTTCCTAATGTTAAGTGCTCATAAATTTAGAAACAATCACGTAAGTTGTATCGAATGTAATGTTTATTGTTGAGTTTGATTCTCAAAAATGAATATGCCGGCATAACCAGTGGCGTGCGCAGGAAATGTTGATGAATGGTAAGCGTCTACGCTACTGATTGAGGATAAGACACGCATGTTATTCAATTAATGAAGGTGTCATACCGATCTTCACATGCCATACAGTGTTTCAATATCAAGCTTCACGGTGTTTTCATAATAGGGGAGGCTAAACCTTTTTATATGATTATTTTAGGATTTGACTTCAAATATTCAAACAAATATCTACAAAATGACTAACCTAACAAAAATTCCTTAAGAGACAAAATTTATGGAAAATTGAATGGTATTTTATAAAATGCACTTTTTTCTGCGAAAAGGCCAGTGGCGTGGAAAATATTTCCTCCTAGCGTCCAGGTACCCTGTTTCTACGTGCCTGGTTCGGGTTGAGCCAGGAAACTCTGTTTACTGCTTATGATGTGCTCACTGAACGTCTAAAATCTTAACTCAGTATCTTTACCCGCTCCATCGATGTATTTTTTTTTTATTTTCCTATATCTCGGTAGTGGAGCATCTTTGGACCCATATTTTTTTGTTACTTTCAAAGGTACTTTCTACACTAGAAATATTGACACGTCTTTCTGAAACACCCTGTATAAGAAACACCATATATTGTCAAAGTTATTCGCATTATCAGCATGAAAACCACATGATAAGTTTCAGATGTTAGATCTGTTAGATTTGCTGCTCTTGAGATGATTTTATTAAAACATTCCTTCTAGAGAAAAATGGAATAACTGAGGTAAAATCAGCATAATTAACTTCAATCTTTTTTTCTTTGAAAATACGCTGTTAGCGAAGTTTATCATTGAAAATTGTCTTTTTTCACCAAACTTTATCATATTCTGACATCCATTGATGTGAATAGCTTATCAAGCTACATATTTATATTCAAGTCCCTACTGTTAGTAATAATGAATTTAACGAAACCCAGAACCGACCAACTACTGTTAATTTTTTTCTCTCGGCAGAACACAATCACAGCAAAGTACAATTCAGCTACAGACAGATCTGTCAAGAGTTGTGTGACACTTGTCGATATGGAGTATTTTGAATATCACTAGATAGTTAGCTGTTGTTTGTTGGAAATTACGGCTTAATGGGTTGCCGTGAAAAATAAATTAGTATGTTATGATTGAAGCCATCTCATCATTATGTTATTTGAATAATATTCTATCCTCAACCAGTTCCATCAGTGGTGTTGAATTTACAATGCCCTGTATCTTGGTAATGTGACATTTTACGACTTATGATTATAGCAGCCTTTTATGTTGTCCTTGTATGTACTTTGTGCTCTTAGAAATATTGCCACTATGTTTTGAACCGCCGCGTACACATAAGCAGCTTACCGTAATATTTTCAGTCGAACCGAACGCCAGCGTCTGCCGACTAGGAATCCTCGACGCCTGCTTCATCCACCTTCCCCACGTGACTATATTGATATTCATTTGTTTTGCCCTGGGCATCACCTGTTTGAAAATCTTCTTCTGCCTTTGCAACTTCGGCCTTTTCGAAATCATCGGGTTCAAAAATTTGATCTGCAAACACCCCCAAATGTCCAATAAAAAATGAAACCAACAATAAGGTGGTATCACATAAAAAGTTGATACTGTTATGCATTGATAAGGCTTTTATGCCATTTTTTAAAGTGTGTATGTACCAGAGTCTTGAACGATAATAAGTATATGCTAATAAATGTTTTTGTAAACAAATTATCCAGCAAACATTTGATATGTTGATAAGAATGACTCGTTACAACAGTTAAACCATCAATATATCACTTCAGTAATAATGACATTTTAATGGGTATTTAAGCAGTAGTCGAGGGAAAACAATTTGGCGTGAGAAACACAAATTAAGAGTTCAAAGCTTTTAGTAACGCCCTCTATTGCTTGTTTGACAAGGTCGGAGAAAAGTTGGAAATATTGTACTTCAATTGTTTGTAAACCTGATTTTCGGAAGTCCTATTAGACATTTTCCAATGTTTGTTATTTCAGCGGATAATGAATATTTTGCCTCCAACGTGAATTTCCGCACATAAGCTGTGACTTGAAATACCGAATACGTTTTGTAACGCCCCAGCGATGTCGTCTTTGCTTCCGATAGAAAGCGCTAGTGGAGTTGGAGGTCAAACGGTCAAAGGTAGATGGGAGAAAGACAGATTTGACAGATTAAGGCAATGTTCGCAGGATATTTGAAGTTAACAAAAATGTTGAATTTCAAACTGACAATTATCTTCTTTTCAAATACCCCGCGGACCTCGCCATTACGTTAGACATGACCGCCAACCCAACTAACGCCATCTACTTACATCTTTCCAGACTAGCCCCCATTATGTTAGGCTTGCATTAGATGTGAGAGGAATAAACTTCATTCTCCCATATTGTTGACAGTTTAACATGAAATCTAAAGGTGTCGTTCTATTGTTAACAGAATTCAATTGCAATGCATGCATTTCAAATAAGTTTTTTTCAACACGAGATAAAAAATGAAGATCAACTATATCATCAATGAAAAATGATTGTATGACAACCTATTTCAACTATCAACAATGCAATGTTGTCCCTTGTTTCTACTGCAATATAAAATAATTAAATGAGTAAAAAGCATACCTCAGCAAATAGCAATCCTTGAGGTTCTAGGTGAAGGGCCATTCCATGCCTTTCGTCGTCAATGAATTCTTCTAGTTTTAAAAATTTAACTGCACACAATGATCTCCAATCCCTCCAGTATATCCCTATTTCTAATTCTCTCGATTTGTCTAGTTCGATGGAAAACCTAGGAATAGAAACAATATCAAGATATTATAAATAATTATGAACTAAATGCAGTACTCCAACCACTAAAGTCTAGTCAAACCTCATTTAATCGGCGTCAAAACAAAACAACGGCACTTAATACCTACTTTTGCTCGCTTGTCGCTGCCTGTCCAGGTACTTATGGCCCGCTGGCCAATAGGAGCGCTCCCATTTGAACGTCGCGCGCTGATGTTTGTTTTGGCTGGGCGTAAATGAGATTTGAATACACTATTGCAGTCGTTGCCGTGTTATACTGACGAGTCTATGTAATAGATCAGAATGTGTTTCTATAGTTCAGCACACATATCGTCGAATTAGTGCACATACCAGGCAATTACCAAAACGACGTTTTCAGTAATTGACATTCACAAGCTTGACAGATAAATCCGGTCCAAAAAACTGCAGTAGTGTAAAAATTATATTCAAATACATAATTAGTATATAAGAAAACAAACTAAACAGTGGTACCCGTAACTTTCATAAGCGTGAAAATGTACTCGACTAAAAAAGTAGAAAAACAGAGTTATCTTGTTTTTGCAGTAAGCTGACAATATGGTAGCTTACGTTGGGTCTAGCACGACATTCGTAGACAAAATTTCTCGCGAGCTGTTGGGGACACAATTGCACATAGCATACCTAGCAGCAACAAGTGCACATAGGTAATGGCAATGTCACCGACTATCCTTACATACTACTTGAAAGTCCGAATTATGAACTGAATATACCTCTGATCCCAAGCCTGCTGAGAGCAAAGTCTCCAATTTGTCTGAGCCACGGTGTTGTTGTCGAGTTTCAGAACAGCCATTATTTCCTCACTCACTTCCTCTTTTATACTATAACTCTTGGACGAGCTTCTGCTTGTCTTTTTGAAAAATCTCAGATCCATCGGACTTGAATTTGCGTCTACGTCCTTTTTCGGCCTGCCAGGTACGTCTTCTAAAAGGTCTTGGCAGCCCATTAGACGGACTTCCAGAGTACCAGTTACAGCTGCACACCTAAAAAAAATGGGAATTGGGATTGTGCCTAAAGCTTACTGTAAATTTTAATCCAAAATAACTCCCATACTTTTACATTAAGATATTATGAACAAGTATCCTTAAGAATATATTGGGACATCCTTTATTTTCGCAAAATGACTGGCATACAAGTTTCAAGTTTTTGATAAACATAAAGTTCACCCTGTATCATGGAGAATTTCCGGACCCATGCTTATATTAACAGAATTAGCCTTCAAATGTATGGTACAACATTCTGTAATACCCTGTATACGAAGATCTTTGACACGAGAAATTCCTAAGTTTACTATCTTTCCATATAAAATCCGCAACAATTTTTTTCTATCCCAAATGGTAGAGTAGCATTAGACGTAAAAAAACGAAGCCCAGGTCCACTGAACGGCTATTTGGAACTTTTAGGGAAATGCGTTTAAAATACTATAAATTAAAAAGTTTGTTTATTAATTATTTCTATTAATTCTGTGTGCTTCTTGATTTTTAATTTACTTTCATTGTTCATTTTCTATGTTAACGATTATCCAGGTTTATAATCAATCAGTTAGTAGATCTCATTAACCAAAACAAAAAAGTTCATGTAAACTTATATGTTTTAGGGTGTCGTTACTGAGATACAGGGTGTTCATGTTTATTTCTCTTAATTCTGAGAATCGAAGGTAGACATCAAGGAACTTGATCTGTACTGCTTATATCCGACTCAATTATCCCAGGAACGGCGCTATAAAATTTCAACAGGGTATTAATAACGTTTAATTAAAAAAGACCTTAATAGTTGGTTAAGGGAAATTCCAAATTACAACATATTAACATATCATGTAATAGAGCATGTTTTGGTAACCAACATCTATTTTTATTTAATGCACTTATGTATTCATTTTTTTCCATCCTTTTGTGGATTGAAATATATGCACCATGTTGTATATTAATGTGAATAAATTATTATTATTATTATTATAATTACTATTTCGGGGTTTAACTAAGCACTCACTAGTTTCTGAGTCAGTGCAGTTGAGGAACAGTCATAAACTGATTTTCTCTAGATTGTAAACAAGTAGTTTGAGAGTTGGAGCTCGAAAAATACGCCAAATAAAACTACCAATATTACACATAAATGTGGGAATAGCCCTAGACCACCCTAATTTTCCATCAGGAGACGAGAAAAACGTTCGGTTCAATGAAATGGTATATTATAAACCTAAATAACTGCATACATACATAAACGATATTTCAATGAATTTCAAAACAATTGAAATCAAAAACGCATAAAACTAATAGGTGAATATAAGGTACTCAAAGCCCATTTCACTTAACACCTCAAAGGTCCATTCAATGGATCCGGGTACCAACCTAAGAGCAAGCTATTAAAAAGCCGGAACAAGGGAAGTGTAGGACATGCTCTTTTTGTTGTATACGAGTATGTTATTTAAAATCAAAAAAAATTGTTACTTACCTTCCAAACGTGGATGCCGACATACTATTCTTGCCGATATCCCCACTTTCTCTAAACGGCTGTAAACTCGTGTACATCATCGGTGAAGTATGACTGAGAGTCTGAGCATTAGCCAACTCCTCTTTCAACTGAATAGCCACGGGAGAGTCATCCGGGAGTTCCGACCGTCGCAACTCCAGCGATTTCTTCAAGAGATCTAGTTTCATGCTACTCGCTCTCAGGCTTTCTTGCGCCTAAAATGTGCATGGGATTGCGCGAGTGATTTCCGAAATGAGTACAAAAATTGAAAACAGCTGCTGATAACCATTATGCTACTTAAACCTAAGCTCAGTTGTTGTTTTAACAAGATGTGGCAAAGAGTTTTAGAATGGATTAGTGTGTTGCTTCTTTCAACACATATATGTTCAACAATTTACAGGACTCATGAAATTTTAAAATAAATGATTGGTAAATATGCGCCCGAAAGTGTTTCCACTTGTTTTTGCAAAAATAAGCGTCATTTGCTCAAAGCCGTCTATCAAAAAAAACGCCAGTTCGATATATGGCGATACACAGATTGATGATTTTTATTTTGAAAACGGTGCACCTGAACGAAAGACTCCAAGTGATAAGTTTCAAGTAGAATCAATCCGGCTATGTGCTATAATACTGAAACTAGTTTTTAGCGAAAACATGCGGCGCACTGCTAAATACTTGCCGACAAATGCCACTGATGTAAGTGAATGAGAAAACAATTCTGTACATATTAATATCACCTTTATAATAGATTTGCATGTATCAAAACTCGTCTGGATCAGTTTTCGAGAAATGTAAAATGAATTGTCAAAAAATGGACAAATCCAAACGCCCGTGTTATGAAAATAAAGCATTTCCGGACGTGTATTCTGTATTAATATAAAATTTCTTCATATTTTAAGATACGGCACCTGCCATCTAATTTTATTGAAAAAATTCTGTAACACCTGTATCTCATGTGAAGACAAGACCTTTTTTCTCCATATAAATCATATTTTCTACCATTTTAAAAACAATTATTAAACACCATCGCCCATTACCTACGTTTACGTATAATCATCGTATCGGATATAAAAAAGGTCAAAAAATAAAAAAAATACTATTCTAATATCATACAAAAATCATCGTATCTCCTTCGTATAAAAAATCGTAAAAAACATGCACACATTCGAACTTCAAACATCGTAAGTCTTCCAGTTTTCTTCTTGCGCTTGTCGCAGGAAGTCCTTCCAATTTTTGACGGGCGGTGAAGAGGGGGAAGCCCCCACTGACGAGCACCTGGTCCTTGTGGTTTCGAAATGTCTTCGGCAGTGGTCACAGGAACATGATGGGTTTTTTGCTGGTCCAACGTGGTGACCTGGTTTACGTACTGCTTCTATGACGTCGCCGAATTTTCGGGCTATCATCCTTGGCTCTGTGTACTCCCCTGCAAAAACTACAGATAGTCTAATCATATTAGCAAATTTCCCCGATATAATTGTAAAGTCTAGTTTTATTGGTGCAAGTTGTTCAAGATTTAAAGCATGGACGTATCAAATGGGTACACAAATTTTTGTGGGAAAACTTTTTATTTGACAAGAAAGAATGAGAAAATGTGTTTTTTTGGGACTCAATCGGAAGTGTTGACAGGAACGAAAAAACTTTTCATATAAGATTTTTAGGTATTTATGGGACCTATAAAATGAGACCACAAGTAAAAAGATTCTACTAATAGCACAAATATGGCCGAAAAACGAGGCAAAATGCAGGTTTTGACACTTGTTGGTAATGCGACGATAATTTCCCACAACTACTTGAAATTCTTCAAATCCGTAGGATTCATACTTCTAAATAATAACACCAACAAAATTGGAGTGTGTATATTGGTCAAGTATTTTTTTTTTGAGAATTTCTAATTGTTTATCCTAACACAGCTGTTTTCCGGCCATCACTACTGCTTTATTGAGCAATATACAGGGTTCGTTCGAAGAGCATTTAAAAGCAAAATACACGTGTTTACCTTGCCGATATGAATCACAAACCATTCAGAAAGATAAATATTATTTTTATAACAAATTCAAACATTTCGTATTTGTGGGTATTTGAACAAATGCGCTACGATAATCGAAAAGCATACGTTACTATATACATTTTAAAATAAAGTGGATGTGTCTGTCATCTTTTGTTGAGAATTACTCACAAATACGAAATGTTTGAATTTGTTTAGAAGAAAAAACGTTACCCATCCTTTTTTGCATTCCGGAATGGTTTGCGATTCATATCTTCAAGGTAAACTAGTGTATTTTGTTATAAAAGGCCCTTCGAATAACCCTGTATATTGCTCAATAAACTAGTCATGATGGCCGGAAAACGGGTGTTTTGGGATAAACAACAGGGAATTCTCAAAAACTACTTGACCAATCTACTCTAATTTTATTGTGGTTATTGAGACGCACGAATCTTACGAATTTGAAGAATTTCAAATATCTGCGAGAAACCATGGTTGCCTTACCTGCAGTTTGCCTCGGTTTTCAACCATAACTTTTCTGTTATAAGTCGGATCTTTTTACGTGTGATCTCATTTTGTGGGTCTCATAAGTACCTAAAAATCTTATATGAAGAATTTTTACGTTCCTGCCAACATTTTCGATTGAATCCAAAAAAAAAAACACGTTTTCTCATTCTTTGTTGTCGAATAAAAAGTTTTCCCACTAAAATTGGTGTACCCATGTTATACGTTTATGTTTTGAATACCCCTCGAACACCTTGCAGCAATAAAACCAGACTTCATAATTATTGCGCAAACCAGGGGTATTTTCGTCTAATATGATTAGACTAAGAAACAATACAGCAGCTCTCGGTTTTAAGGCCAAATCTACGGGGAAATCTATATGTGCAGTGTTGCCGAACCTACCGATTTTTCAATATTTCTACCGAAATGAGTCATTTTCCGATTTATTACCGAAAAAGAGCTGGAACCAAAAATACGGCTGAAAAATTAATTCTATGTAGTCAATGAATTTTTATGCCCTTCACCAACCATACATATGTGGTACACTCAGGCAGTCGGGCACACGAGGGACGTAGATTTGGGTTGCCTATAATTATGTATGCACATTCCTTACTCCGCTTCCCCTGGATTGGTTTTTGTTCATACAATAGGAACAGACTGGTAGATCACCAACATTACTGCATCACCGGACAAGCAATAAATAAACCAACGCTTGTCTATTTCTAATTCAATATTAAATTAAATGACAGGTTATGAAGCCATGTTCACGGGTTAAACACTAATATCCAAAATCTTACGGGAAAAGGAGTTTCCAGTATAGGTGCAAAGAAGGCTGAAGAGCAACCCGTATGCTTAGTGTACAAGTTGTAATAAACAAGTTGAAATTTTCCAGATCAAGAGGACATCAAAAAGACCGTGTTGTGTGTGAGCGCAATACAAAAACAACGGCCATGATTTTTGTCTTCCGGCCGAGTTTGTCCTTGAATCCAACGAATTTCAACGAGACTATCTACCGATTTCATCTTTTTCAGTTCGGCAACAGTGGATGTGTGAAATACGAGTATGTCTATCAGATGCGTAGAAATACCGGAAGCGTATATACTAAGGCGAAAGAAAATGAGATATGCCCGCCCCTACAATCCGCAACTTCCAATTTTTAACAACTACAAAACTTTTCTAAAAATGATCACGAGCCTCTGAAAAATCAAAAAAGAAGTTTGAACGATTTCTATTTGATCTGAGTCGATTTTCTAAACCTCCAAAACTTTTTCGTTCTTGGAATAGTAGTAACCTTGCGTTTTTCGTTAAAATCTAAGCAGTGCTTACCAAGTTATAGACGGGCCAAGGATCTGCAGACAGGCAGACCGACGTAAATGCGAGACACGGTTTTTCGTGATGTATATGTCAAATAACATCCAAAAAAACATCCCATTTTCTAAGTTTTGCGACTACAATACTTCCTTGCCGGTGGCGTGGGAAGCAATAGCACTAACAAGACGCTACAATGCATGACGAAGCGCATTATGCATCATTTTAGTAAGTATACCATTTTTTTGAGAAATGAAAAATCTCAAGTATGTTTTTTTCAAGGAAATCACCACAAACAATTTGGATACGATCGTAAATTACCAAGAGTTCGTAGAATCTGTAAGGTTGAAAGCTTTCTAGAATTTCTTCTTTTTCGTTCATAACTTCGCTGATACTGGAAACCTACTAACCTGCCTAGTACTTTTATGTATTTATGTCTGACATGATTATGTTCACGTCAAATTGATGCTAGTAGTCATAAAAATGGGAATTTTGCCCTACGAATGCTTATTGTGTGTCAATTTTGGGGAAAAAATGGAATAATCAATTTCCGAAAACCTATGATTTTAACAATAATTCGTTTCTTGCGTAAGTTAGGTGCGTATACTCCAAATCTGACGTCAGTTGCATTCTAGGACCATCATGCGGTTACATGCCACCAATTTTATACCTCAGTTTCAATTTGCGCCTCAAACTACCCGAGTGTATGATTTGCGAAGACAAAATTTTTGAATGGGCATTCAAGATCACAGTAGTATTTAGGAAATATTTTGAGAGCAACTGTACTTCATGCTAAACTATTCCAGATCGAAAAATACTCACCAGACCTGATGGTAAAAGGGGAATTCAGATTCGGATTAAAGGACAGTTTCCCTTGAACAACTGTCTGCTTAGGTGACACACTAGGTGGCGCACTTGTATCACTGTGATATCCAGGTAAAGGTTCCTCTTTGACTTCGAAAGCTTTTGCGATACTCGATCTAGGCACTGTAAACCCAGCCTTAATCGGTACAGGCCTCGTATCGCTAACTTTAAACATAGAACTTCGATTTTGTACTCTGCCTGGTATGGCTTTATCCATGTTTTTGACAAAAGTCCAACCTTTCTCATCTTCATCATCATCGCTAACATCCGAGTCACTATCTTTAGCTTTCATTCTGCTCAACCTTTTATTCACATCATCTTGCAACTGTTGCTGTTGCAACAATCTGTTTTTGGTCAAAGGAGATCTCTCAAATCTTGAATGCACCTTGTTCATCCATACTTTCTCCATCCTCTTGATCCTCAGTCTATCTTCTGAGTTAGCATACTCAAAACTATCCGTAGGTTGAAGCAAGCTACTTGCAGTACCATTCTCGCTCAACTTTGAAGAACTGTTATCTTCGTTCTCTTCATCAATCCTTCTTGGTACAAAGTAAA